TGCGTCGTCGTTAAGGACTGGGGTGAGGAGTCTCAGGAGCGCTCTGTCCTCCTTAACTACTTCCAGACTGAGCAGTAAATTGCTCGCCTCATTTCATTATATTGAAGTGATGTCTGGGTGATGGTAGTAGGGGTTTCCACACTTTTTTTTTTTACCCCCTTGAGTGGTGTGGTTTGGTCGATGGTGGGGTCCGCGGGGATTTTATGTGTCTAGTGGTGGTAAAGGGATATCTTGGGGTGGGGAAAGGACGGGGTTTGTGAATTTGGTTTTACGGGCTGCTGGGCTTTTCTCTCTCGGGTGTGCGTGCTGCTGCTACTGCTGCGCGTGTCTCTTGCTATCTGCATATTATCCCACCTGTTTTGTTGTATCTAGCTACGATTTGGGTGTTTCACTTTGTGATAGCGTGGATCAAGCAATCGACGGATCATGGTACTCTACTTTTTCTCTTTCTGGGTGTAGATGCACAATGTGTAGATTGGTATAAGGTAATTGGGTAATATTTGCACAATTTGACATGAATGCTGATACTGGTATAAGAACACCCGGCTATGCAAACATCGTCCCGTCCAACGCCATGATAAAAGCAGCGCCCCAAGATTAGCAGTTTACATATGACATATGTGACAGACAGCTGTACCGTGCTGTTTTTGAGGTTAGCGGAACCCGTACGAGGGACGCACCATTTTCTTCGACTCTGGTTTCAGTGACAGCTGTTGGTATGGCGAGCTGCCTGGGTCGTAGTATAACCCTTCGATATGTCCAGTCTGCCGGTTTAGTGAGATATAGTAGAATCCCGAAATCGTCAGTCCTTGTCGGGAGTCGGTGGGCGTGATGAAACAGCGTTCTATAGACTCTTATTAGCATGGCCTTACAGCTTCTGTTTATCAAACTCACCCTTCCATCTCATCAGTATCCACTGCTTGGATAACTGCTCTGTTACCCACTTCCGACTGACAAGTTTCCGCGTCATTTCCTCGTCGCTCAGATTCTTGAATGGCTGCAACTCCCGCCAATATGTACTGTCAATCTCCGCATCTGCTTTGAAGTTCTTTGTTTCGAGCGTATGTTTGTTAAAATCGATTATCTCTCCCTCCAGATATGTGACGATATGTGCATCATGCGCCGGGGTGGTTTTGTCCGGTATGTTGTATGCCTCCATGGTCCCCGACAGCGTCATTTCGTCCGGGTTGATACTATGTATGGTGACCTTGACTGGCCAGTTCTCGTCCTTACCACCTCCGAGGTGGTAAATATTATTGGCCAGGTACCGTCGTCCTGTTGTGGTATATACACTGATGCGACTGTTGTCACTCCCATTGACAATCATGGGATCCTGGGATGCCGACGGACTGAGCCCTCGTGCGAAAAGCGAGCTCGCACTGCTGGCAGCCCGCTGCGACCCCGAAAAGACCATACCCGGACGAAGCCATGAACTTTCCGGCGGCGGCGCTATCGAACTGATATCGAGGATAAAGTCATCCTCGTTCCCGTTGAGGAAATCAGTATGTACAAACCCCCCTGCGGCCGCTGACGTGAGGCTTTCCTCAAACGAGGTTGAATACCGCAGGCGATCCAGATATAGGATGGTCTCCTTCAACCGTGGATTCGGAGGGTTGTCTATGTGTAACTGTCGGTGAGCGCTTATCCGAGCGCGTAAGTCGTTGTGCGTCAAATATCGTTGCGACTCGCCCCGGGCGCTGGGAAGGAAGCGATATGCTCGTGAGGCCGATGGAGGGCCTGGCCGCTCTCGACTCTCATCCGAATCCTGGGAGGCTCGTTCCCGCTCTAACAAATAGTCGTGAAGCGCCCGCGCGCGTGTCCGCGAACCCCGCTGTTGGCGTCGCACTGACTGTAAGAAAGCCTCTGTTGTCGAAAGAGCCGGGTCGCTTTGGCGATTGGCACTGCTATCAGACGGTTCATCTGGTAATGTTGGGGGGCTTCGACCAGCGGCATCCCGGCGCGCGTGGCGACGAGCAGCCGCGTAGCGATCGGAGAATCGGCCGAACCATGAGATGGTGTTACTGTCGTGAAGCGGCTCGTAGCCTACATCATCGTCATCGTCATCGGAGGCCGGAGCCCAGCCGTATACTGAGCGTGAATTTGACATCTGACCTTCGTAGTTGGGTAGATTGGTCGAGTTGGGGTTGCCGGAGGCGTCGCGTTGACGGCGCACGATGGGAATGCGGCGGTTGATTTCGATGCGCAAGTGGGACGGATCATCCAGCTCCATGGGCTCTAGATCGAAATCAGACGCGATTTGCTGTCGACGTCGGCGCTGGCGACTGAGTGAAGAAGTCGAGTCTGGTGGGGAGCGCACACGAGATCGGAGAAAGCTCACGTTATCATCATGAGCGTCATCGGACACGGCTGCGGGGAGCGAGGGAACAGGCAAGGAGAGCGCGGTCAAAGGCCGAAACGAAGAAGCGGAAGACGACTGAGCGGGGGGATCCTGTGATAGAGGAGAGAAGGTTAGGGTGGAAACTCATCTATCGATGGCATCAACCGAGAAGGCAAGGCACGTCACAACATCGGCTTGGTACCTCAATCCCACGGTCTGCGCAGAGTCAAAGTGGCGACCGTCCCGAGGTACGGGCTACACAGGAACAATGGACATGGATGGAGAGAGAGAACGAATAGTTAAAACTTACAGAAGGCGAGTTGACGGGGGGCATGATCTGAGTAAAAGCAACAGGTGTAGATCGAGTGGCGGCGGAGAGGCAGTCCGCCAGGGAGGAAGATGGACGATGGGAGATCGCATCCACCAGGAGGCGATCCAAGGAGAGAGACGAAATCCCCTTTCAAATAGCAGCTCAAATCAAGGAGCTGGAGCGAGTAAAACATAAATTCCCGACCGTTGGAAGGGTATAATCGACGAGCGGCGATGCCGAAGCAGCAGAATGTGAGGAAGAAGTTGAGGTTTTTGACTTGCAGGAAGTTCGATTCCAAAGCAAATCCAAAAGCCGCCGAGTCACTGGATTGCCTAATCGGGCACCCCTCGCCGACTTGTCCTTTGCCTTCTTCCTTTACTTTCTCTCACAATCTTCTCGGGAGACTTCATGCCTTATACCGGCTATCTTCTCCCATCGCTGTGTATTTCTCCTTGACATCATCACCATTTCTTATACACGATGGGGTTCATCCGTTCCATCCTCCAACGCTGGGTTCTGTACCTGGAACACAACCCCGGATGTGCCCCATACTTATACTCCACTAGTCCATGTAGATATCTACAACAATCATCACGCTACGCACTATATTTCCAACCAAGGGGAAGTCCTGCACAGCCATCTCATCCATCTTAGCAAAACATGCAAGGGATTCTCATCGAACTCCACTCTTGAATACCTCACGCCCCGGAATTATGTGAACTAATGCAGGATGACAGCGTCCGTCTATAAGCCGAGTCCACTATGGCTTTAACGGTGCGTTTCATGCCAAAGCCAATCTCATCTCATTCCTGGGCATCCTGCATGGTCTGGTCTTGGGCCGATCGGATGCCGTGTCGCCAAGTTGCACCATTGCGAGACCCATTTATCCATCCATACTCTCCGTGATGGAGCCATGTCGGTAATTCGGCCTGGTAGACGGAGCAACTCCGATTGCCCTTCACGATCATAAATATCACTTATTGTCTCAGTGCGTCTTCTACGTTATGTATCCTGCCAGCTTACCAGGAGAACGACTCATTCTCTCAACCGGCAAATATAGTCACTCGCCAGCATGGTCAAGATCAAGTCCATCGAGTACTTCCGCGTCCCTCCCCGTTGGCTCTTCGTCAAGATCGTCGATGAAGATGGCCAATGCGGTTGGGGTGAAAGTACTCTAGAAGGCCATACCGAGGCCGTCGAAGGTACATTAAATGCTCTCTGCAAGCGGTTCCAAGGTTACGAAGCCGAGTACATATCCACCCTCCCTGCTGGGCAAGGCATGCAACTAATCTCGAGTGATCAGTGACATCGAACACATATGGCAAATGGCCTGGCGTCTGGGTTTTTACCGCGGAGGCCCGGTCTTTATGTCCGCCATTTCAGGAATTGACATCGCACTCTGGGATCTAAAGGGCCGTCGCCTTGGCGTCCCCATCTACCAGCTCCTTGGAGGCAAAGTCCGGAACAAACTGTCCGTCTACGCATGGATCGGAGGAGACCGGCCCTCCGATGTCGAAGCAGCCGGGAAAGCTCGTCTCGCGCAAGGCTTCAAAGCCATCAAGATGAATGCCACCGAGGACATCAACTGGCTCGATTCCCCTCGGGCGTTGGACTCCTCCGTACAACGGCTGAAAACCGTCAAAGCACTCGGCTTAGACGCAGCCCTCGACTTCCACGGCCGCCTCCACAAACCAATGGCCAAACAGCTCGCCAAAGCCCTGGAACCGCACCGCCCTCTTTTCCTGGAGGAGCCGCTCCTCTCTGAACACCCCGAAGCCATCAAGCAGCTATCGGATCAAGTGTCTTGCCCCATCGCCCTCGGCGAACGTCTCTACAGTCGCTGGGACGTGAAACGCTTCCTGGAAGACGCGAGCGTGGACATTCTTCAGCCCGATATCGCTCATTGTGGAGGTATCTCCGAGCTACGACGCATAGCTTCCATGGCCGAAACGTACGATGTTGCAATTGCCCCGCATTGTCCCCTGGGATCCATCGCTTTGGCGGCGTGTATGCAGGTGGACTTGGCGACTCCCAATTTTGTTATCCAGGAGATGAGTCTGGGGATGCACTATAATACGGAAGCGGGTGAATATGATATTACTAGCTACGTCAAGGATCCTAGTGTGTTTACCGTTAAGGATGGATACGTGGATGCTCTGACGGCGCCGGGACTGGGAATTGACGTGAATGAAGAGCTAGTCAGGCAGTTGGCGGTAAATTCCGAACCCTGGGCACCTAAGGAATTCTTTGGCCCTGATGGAGGGATCCGGGAGTGGTAGTTGGCTGAAATTTCTTTAGTGTATCTAGCCTAGCGTGAATGGATAGTGTTGACCTATACGACAGCATGATGAAACGGGCTATGCAGTATTTCTGTTCGTCTAAAAAGTCTATGTACTATTCATTGAGGAGCATTTCTCAATAGTCTATCATCAAAGGTCGCCTCCAAAGGAAGAAAGTTCCTGCATGGCACATGTCGCAGAAACATCATTAGGCCTTCCTTGCCGCATTGCACTGATCCGCCCGTTTGATGCAGTCATTGATCATATTCCAGAACGCATCCAAATCCACACCACGGGGAATGCAAACCGCGTTAGGGTTCGCCTCAACTACAGACCGACCCAGCGAGCCCACCAGCGCAATGTCAGTTCCATGGAGTCCGTCCGTAATGACATTGACGGAGAAGCGCTCTCCGCCGCGGTCGTCGAATTTCAGGACCTGGTCGGGGTGACTCTTCGCGTAGGCAGGGTTCAAGGTCGACAGGATGACCGCCACAGCAAGGGGGTCGTGCAGGGGAGGACCAGTGGAAAGACCGAAGACGGTTTCGTAAGTATTGGCGAAGAAGATCAGGAGCTCGTATAGCATCTGACGCAGGGTAGTGGGCTCGACGGAGGCATCGTCCACGCCGTGGCGGACGAGGTTCCGGACGCTCTGGTCGGCAAGGACTTGGTGGGTGAGGTCGAGAGTGATCAGGGTGGTCTTGGATGCAACGACTGGGTCGCTGAAGATGGCTTGGGAGGCTTCGGGGTCACACTGGTTTTATATAGTGTTAGTAATGGTAGATACAGGTCAGTCTCTTGAGAGAGTGTGGCTCTGGGAGATAGTAGTATAGGGGACATACGTAGATGTTGAACTCAGCAAGAGGCGTTACGTTGCCAATTCTGTTTTCTTGACCTTCGAGTCTGCTCATGGGAGCGTCGGTGAATCCTTCACCAACACCTCCACCCATGATGGTCAGACCGGCAATGTGCTCCGCAACCTCGGGGAAAGTCGCGAACAACAGGGCAACGTTGGTCAGGGTGCCGGTTGCAACAACCCATGGTGTACCCTTGGGGTGCGCCATGAGGGCATCCCGCATGGCCAGAATGGGGTTCTTATCTGTGATCGGGGCCGTCGAGGCCTTGGGCAGGAGGTCGGTACCGTCCAGACCAGAGTCACCTACATTTCGCAAAGGTTATTCTCAGGGGCTTCTGCTTTAGTGAAAGCACAATCATGCGCAATGCTTACCGTGGATATTGGGCGCATGGAGAGCAGGTCTGCAGAATGGCTTCTTGCTTCCGGGGTACACGGGGATCTCTGGCCGGCCGATGGCCTCCAAGACCCGAGTGGCATTGATAGTGGTGTTCTCCAGGGAGGCATTGCCGTGAATGGTGGTAATACCGAGAAGCTTCAGCGCGGGATGGTGTGCAGCAAGAAGGATGGCGAAAGCATCCTATATATGGACCCAAACTCCTGAGTGGTTAACCTTGTATACCATGTGTTGATTTTCTCTGAGTCATGAATTATACTCACATCGTGGCCTGAATGCTTGTTAGCGTAGCTACACTTGGATGGAAAAGAAGTACCTACCCGGATCACAGTCCAGCCACAGGGGAATCGGCGTGTCCACTGAGGAAGCCATTGTATAGCGCTACCAAAAGATATAAAGAAACAAAAAAAGGAGAAAGAGGGGACGCCGAGATGACAGAGAAAAGCGATTGCGGGGATTGCAGACAGATAAGAAAACCCCGTGTCGATAAGCCTTATCGGCGGGCACGGGTCCAAATCAGCCCTAAGCCCTACCTTCCCGATACGGCAGGGACAGAGCGTCATCCCTCCAAGTCCGTCGCAGTTGCCGCGGCTTGCTGCTCTTGCTTCCCCTGCCTGATGGCATTCTCACCGGGAGCGCTATTCTCTCCGACTACTTGATTCCTCATATCTGCACTGTACATACTAGTTATCACAACGGTCTACTCTTTTCGCTCCCGTGTTGCCTGCTTTCCTGCGATGAGATGACCAGCGACCCTCTCCGCCCGGGCCTCCATCCGCTGTCGCATCTCAAAGCTGGCCCAACGACCTCCAGCTCGAAGTCGACGGCTGTGCCTTCGTCTCCAACTCTGCAGACTTTTGCCCAAACTCCGACGCGCCCGCAGCCAGTCAAACATGCCAGTCGAGAGGATCCAGTTAATGCGACGAGCGACAAGGCGACCATTGCTCTAATTCGACGCGTCCTATGTCCTCAAGCTGGTAACCATGGGGGTGCCACTACTCCTCAGCCTCCGGAAGATCTGTTGCCTCCACTTACGAGCTCGAATGAGGTAGATCGCCAGCTCTATGCGCTTATTGCCATCATCGTCAAGGAGTTTGTGTACACTTGGTACTCAAAGATCACATCGGATCAGGTGCTCGTGAGCGAACTCCTTCAGGTCATTGCACACTGCACCCGCGCTCTTGAGCAGAGGTTGCGCGAGACCGATGTTGCGCAGCTTTTTCTTGATGAGATTCCTGCTCTCGTTGAGAAGCACATTACATGTAAGACCTTGCGTCCTGTCCGACGTCCAGGGAGAGGTACATGAGCTGACCGCGGCCTTGGTTGTCCATAGCATATAGACTAGCGAAGCAGCAATCAGAACAGTCTTCGATATCTCCTCCGCTCCGCGAGCTTTATCATGCTCTGAACCCGCATCCGGGCCTCTCACCGATTCCCGACCCATCAGACGCTCAAGCTGTTGCGCAGCAAAGAGAAAATGAATCAATCTATCGACAACTATTGGTTCACGGCATGTTAGCGGTGCTACTTCCCACGGAGGACCTGGAAAATGCTTCTCTGCGGACTCTGCTCGGCGACATCCTGGCAGATCTTGTGCTGGGCAACGCAGTGGCCGGGAAAATCAGCGAGGGATGGTTCTTGTGGGACAGTATCACGAAGGTGGTGGACAGGGTAGGGCGCAATGAACAGGAGGAGGATGCAGTAACTGCAACGATGCGGCAGCGATCCAGACTTCACAAGTACGGTCTCCTCTCTCAAGAAGCGTTCACGGATGGTCATTCGTCGTCCCAAGTCCAGGTGCCAGTTCCCGACTGGATCTGGCAAGCGCTACAATATGCCTACTTGATCTACGTGACTTTACGTTTCATTGTGATCGGCCTGTTTCGCGTTGCATCCGCTCCTCCGGTTACTGCGTCCCTGACACCATGCCCTCCAACCAGCGACGCGGACGGACCCCCCTCGTACGCAACCCCCAAGAAGCGCCCGGTGCTGGACTACCGATTGTATGGCATGGTCTCGCAAGTGATGGATGTGCCGCAGCGGATGCCTTGGCTGTGTGGAATGCTCGCACTGATCCAATATCTGATCCTGGCCGGTCCAGGTAGATTGGGTGATACAGATAGTGTTCTTGATAGGTGAGTCGCACATCCCGATTTGAAATGTCCCAAACCCTCCCCCCCTCCATCATCACTCGCAAGCAATCTCCTACAGGCTACGGATGGCCGTTGGATTCAGATGGGTGTTTCGAAGCGCGAGACGGCGCGACCCTTAGGGGCATGTGGTCTCCCAACTGTGGAGAAGCGGTACGGTTGGATCTCCGAACCATGATCTACACAGGCGGCGGCGACCGGTGTGTTTGCGAGAGTGATGGTCAGAGAGGATGATGGTGTGCAGTGGTCGAGAAGCAAGCCATTGGAGTAAAGACGGCGGGCCAGCAGGAGTATGCAGGTGGGATGCGCATTGCGCGCATGCTGCAACGATCACTTGATCGCCTGGTGGATGGCAGCCCCCGCCCGCCCTCGTCCTCTCGACTCTCATTCGTCCAGCCCCTGGTCGTCTCGTCATTACCGACTGTGACCGGCGCGTACTGTTTTCTTACCAGACGGGTACCGTCTGTTACATGACACCGGACTCTCGTCTGGCTTGCCAGTTCTGCAGACATCAAATTTCCAGTTGATTAAACTGCTTGCTAGCATGTTGGACGGGCGGGCTGGCTGGCTGGCTGGCTGTGCCCCCTCCTCCTCCCCCCCGGGGGTTAGAAAGGAGGAGCTTTGACATCCTCTGGTCATGCCATCCGGGACTGGGGTGCCTTCGGACATACCGAACTGCTACTTACTTTCTAAATTGCTCTTCCGTTGGACCTGGTTTGGTCTGCAATTCTGCTGCCGTCTGTCAACGGGTCTGTCAATTTGGGCCGTGGGCTGGCCCGGCCCTTCCGTCCCGTCCAGCTCCAGCTCTCTTACTTTGTGCCGTGCACAACCTGGTCGGAGGGGCAGTCAAACAATGATCGCGGCATCGATCGCACAAAGATTCAGAGGGTGGGAACTGCAACGAAAAAAGCAATTTTCGCACTACCGGCTAGTCGACCACCTCCTTCGAAGTTAAATCGAGCGAAGACCGCCTATCCCTGCCCCTGGAAATGGGTGTAGTCGAGGTCCTGGCCCACGGACCGACGCTAATGGGCCTTCAAAATGAATCATGACGATCAGGCACCTATTGGTTGAGCGAAACGGTTTTATGACTTGGGGAATTGCATGGATAGGCAGAATCTCGTCCTGTTCTCCATTTTCAAGCCAATCAATCACCTAGTTCGCCCCCATTTATTTTTTTTTCTTTCTGAGATGGAATCCCGGCCATGACTCGCCGGGGCCCTATGGTGCGTTCAGACACGCTTCCGGAGGGCGCCCAGGTTGGGTTTCCCCCGAACAACGCCTGAATCGTCATCTTTCTCTGCTCCGTTGCTGGACGGATGAACGAATCCGAGGCGCTTATGCTCTCAGTCCGCGACCTTGTCGTCATCTTCACCACTGGTAGCATCTCCATTCGCACCAATGGCTGGCCCAAGCTCCTGTACTGCCCCCCTAGCCAAGCAGATCCCTCTTCTAGTGCTACTGGACTTGCTCACTTTATCGGAGTGTGGCCGTCATTACTATCCTGATGGGGCAAACCGCTTCTCCGCAGTCTGAGATTCTGTCAAGTGTCAACTGTTACCTCGGGGCTATCGCGGACCTCCCCGTGTGATTCGACTGTTGACTCCTTCTGTTTCCCCTTCGGGATGATTGCCTTACCTTGAACCTAATTATCGTTTTTCCACTTCATTTTCATTGTTCAAAAAAAATTTTTTTTTTCTTTTTTCTTACGTTTTTCTATTCTCCACTAGGTTCCTTCACGAGACCATCCGCGATCATGTCCTTACCCCCGCCCTGTTTCCAAACCTGCTTCTTGCGACTAGGGCCGCGCTCTTCCCTTTGAACGCCCGGCCAGCGTCCGCAGCGGCAGATGGTCGCGCCGCGGCCTCGGCGCCGCAGCTGTCCGTGCAGCCTCCAGCATCTCCTATAGTGAAAGGGTCTGTTAACGATGCCGCTGGCGCAAGTGACGCTTGCAGTAGCGTTTCCTCGTCTGGTGTCTCCGCGACAGCGCCCTTATCGCCGGATCCGCGGCCTTCCACGCCCGACGTCGCTTCTATCAAGCGACGCTGTGCGGCCAGCATTCTCTCCCGGCTTCCTCGCCCAATCGCACGTCGTTTCTTCGGTGTCCCGTCTGTTCCTATCGAGCACAACCCGCCGTCCCGACGCCCAGGGCGACTGAATAGCTCCGACGAGCCTGAATCGCCCTGGCTCGACTCTTCCCAAGCGTCATCCACGGTCTCACCCGCAGATTGCGGCCACGAGGAGTCACTCCTACTCGCTGCCGTTGAGGAGGTTCTCGACCTCTTTGCCGATGATTATTGCAACAAGCATTTAATATATTCCATCATAGAAGCCATTCTCACAAAGCTCCTTCCGGAGTTGTCTGAGCGCAGCATCGCCGAGCTAATGGAGGACAGGGGGGTACCCCTGGCATCTAACTTGACTCCGCCTACCCATGCGGGCTCATAGACGGCGTACAGTGTACGCGGAGCGCTACATCGAGATATTCCCTTCCCCTAGGATAGTAATGTTAATGATACCAATATCGCATAATAACCCTTCTTTCAGGGTCAATTCTTGCTGAAATCCCGTAGGCAAGTGGTGCTTAAGCCACTCATATAAGCGGTATGTAACCCTCCATCACCACGTGCCCAAGCTGTGGTGGCTTCTGGTGGCAACTAGGGCGTGTCACCAGAAAGATGTGGGCCCAGATTAAGTGGAAGTAAACATTTCCTTTAGCTCAACTCTCATGCATGCCCCAGAATACAGGCGTTGCAAAGAGGTCTTTTTCTTTCTTTTCTCGACCCCACCCGCCAATGGCATGGATCCAAAGGCAGTCACGTAGTAGTAGCAATACACCAATGGGCATGATGAGAAATCACCAAAAAGAGCGACAGCATAGTAGATAGGTACTTAGTAGTAGTATGATACGTAATGGTTACAAACACATGCCGGTATGAACAGACAGACAGACAGACCAAGTACCAGGATGGTACAAATATGCCATCTTGCCTGGGCCGAACGTCAAAAAAGAAACGAGGCAAACCTGCAGAAGAGTCAACGAATGAGAAGGCCTCCCGATCTAGGCGTGCTAGCCGTGGGGAGGGGGAAGCCCCGGTTGCTGGCAGGCCGAAGAAGGACCTGACAGGGTCCCTTATGGATGGGTGCCTTATCTGTCGAATCAGACCAGCTCATCTCCCCAGAGACAGCGCATAAAGGACCGGGGGAGGATCAAACAAGGTATTAGTTGGTGGGAATAGCGCAGAATGCGGTGTGAAAAAAAAATAATAATCACTAAAGCAAGGACAAATAAGAGAGAAGAGAAGTAAAGAGGGAAAGGAAAAAAGAAAAGCCACACAATTAGTCTGGATACCGTATGATCACGGGTCTTCCAGGTTGTTTGCCAGTTGAATTTACCCCGGCTGGCAGCCCTATCAACGCATATCAGGTTAATGCACAAGGATTCCAAACGATGTTCAATGAACAGAGGAAAGCAAGGAAGGACAGGTACAGAATAGTGACACAAATGCAGATGCAGGCAAATCCGCGCGAGCGGGTAAGTTCTGGATAATGTGCTCGTCTCGACACCGAAGTATATGAGCCAAATAGTAAAAAGACAACAAAAATCATAAAAATCCCTAAGGCCGTATTCCAAAACGACACTCCTCTCAACACCAAAAGTTCCTGCGAACAGGACCAAGCACCTGGATTCCCTTCCCTTTAGACCGGATATTTGAGGTTGCCCTCGCGCGGTGTATCATCAACAAAAGAGATTTTTCTCAGAGCCTCGGCAGTATCGCAGAGCCACTGACTGACACAAAATTGTCCGATCTGGCATGAAAATGCAATGTTAAAGCAGAAGACCGCCCGGTAAAGATAATCATATGTGGTATAATGAAAAGAGCAATAGAGAAACACCAAAGAAAATATTAGGATAATATGCCAAAGGTAGTGATCACATGTAGTCGCTACATGCTTGTGATGCCATGGTTCGGGAGATCACTGGCAAGCCAGGACTGTCTAGCCAAGACTGTGGATGCTTCTCTTCCTGTTCAATTGAGTTGAATCGTCATGTTCGTCAATTCGAGTGAGACCCCCTGGAAGGGTCACTTGCTGTGCCTTAGCGAGCTCAAGCCTTTCCATCAACTTCCCAATTGTCATGTAATCATCTGCCCCAAGTCCTGACGGCTGCTGTTTAAAGTAATTCATCACGAGCTCTAGTGCTCTCCTAGCTTCATCCTGGGTTGGCGAACCCGGGGAGCTAACCGGAGACACAGTGTTGGACTTCGAGAACAATGGTGGATATATGGACTTGGCTTTGAATTCCGGATTGCTCCGATTGCGTTTGATTGTATTCGCAGACGTATCAAGCGCTGGGAGGAATTTCTGGTCGTGATGTTCCTCGGGGGGAGGTTGATGTTCTGAGATTGAGAGTGACTGTCGTAGTGCGGCTTTTGTCAAATGCTCGGAGTTTTCATCAGGGCACATAAGGTTCGGGTCGGACGAACTGAGCGGAAATGTTTGGCTGCGTGGTCTGGTGGCATTGCCATCCGCGGATGAACCAAGGGACTGGCTAGTAGGAGTAAATGGACTTTCGGTTACGAAAGTGGATGTCGGGCTGGTAACCCCAGCAGAGAAAGAGCACGTTGTGTCCAGTGAGGTTGTACTCTTTGTATGTGTGTGCTGATAGTCACTTGCAATCTCTGCAAGGCTCTGGACAAGCTCACCCCTGATGTTCTCATTGCTCTGAACGGGTGATAGCGGCAATGGTGATAGGAAGCCTGTGGGGGATGTAGGCGAGAGTAAGGTAGGCGACTGGACCGCGGACGCCAGTGCTGAGTCGATGCTCAAACAAGTAGGGCTATCCGATTCGCTCTTTGTGCTGGCCCAAGAGCCCTTGCGATTCCTTGCACCCATCAAATTATACTTGCGTTTGAATTTCTCCAACCAACTGATACTTAGCACCTTCTCCTTGCCGTCTGAACTACCACAGGTACTAGCAAAGAAAAGGGCCTTCTCGCGTATCATCTCATCGTTCAACGGGTAGCCCTGTTTCTGGTAGTTCCGCGCCCAATTAGACAAAGCCTTTTCAATATCTGGGACTCTTCCTTTGGCACGCTTGATGGGAGATCGACTGCCATCGTCTGGATTGAGATACTTATCCTTCTGCCGCAGGACCTTTGAGACAGTACTTTTATCATGCCAGTTAGACGATGTTTTCAGCGAGTGGGATTCTCTAAAGATGAGTTTACCTTCTTTCGACACCAAATAATGCTGCAAATTGCACTAGTTAGTCTGCAAAATCTTCCCTCAGTAGGATCAGAGAACGCTTTACCTCCAATGTCTGTTTGCTTGGCCGTCTTATTCTCTTCGTGATAAAGACACATCCGCCGACGGTCTTCATCCGTCAGAGTCCTGCGAGGCGTTGGGTTGCTATTCGACTTTCCACTGGATGACTTGCCGGATGATGATTTGCCGGTCGTCGACTTGCCAGTAGATGCCTTGCTAATGGATGCCTTGCGAGGAACTGCTGGAATAGTTGGCACCGGGGCAAGTGTGGGTGGTGCCTGCATCAAGGGTACAGCTGGCATGCCCGGTTCCGGGAACGGCCCTTGGTTCGAAAGCATACTAGGCCAGGAACTCGGGGGTGGAGGCATGGCTATTGGCAATGTCTCATAGGGTGGAGGGATATCGACACCATAGGATGGGTCTAGTGGTACGACTCCATATCCAAAGGCTTGGTAGTCCAGCGTTGGAGATTGCTCGGAGGGACTGAATCCACCTAGATCAAGCCAGGAAGTCTGCGCGAAGTCATGTTCCTGCGCATGGCTGCTCTCTGTGTCCATGTCTGGCGAGCGAGCCCTCAGCGTGGAGGCTGTATGCGGAGGAAGAGAGACTAGGAGGGGTAGTGATATCACAGTTGTTCGTGAGTGGTGGTGATGGTTGCACCGAAGTCAGTGCCCGACGAGGACAGTCTATCGGCGCACTATAGAGGTTATAAAGACCGAGATCGGGGTGAATTGGGAATCGATAGACGGGTTGAAAAAGCAAAGAAAAGTAATGTCCAGTAACGACGGACAGCTTAAGGCCAAGACAAGGTAGGCAGACGCATGTTCGAGCTTGAACGGATGATAGACGAGGAAGATGGTGCGATTACGGAAGCTGAGGCGCTCGCATGCATCAACTGGAGCGGATGGAAAGCGAAGATCCTCGGGAGCAAATCTCCTTCACACTCGTAGTTCGGAAAGGTTCCCAGAGTAGTAGCGCATACCAGACACCTGCAGCAGGCCTGGAGTGTGATCTTTTTCTGTACAAGGAGGGGGAAAAGAACGGAAAAATGGAGAGGCGGGTCGTCTTATGGGGAGGGGGTGGGAGGAAGTGCGGCGGGTGGGTAAAGCCTGGAGTTTAAAAAAAGGGACAGGCCAGGCCACCGGCACAGGGACGATCAGGGAAGGAAGAGAATCAATTGGAGAAGGAAACAACGACTAGGAGATGGGAGGTAAAAGGGAAAGGTACGGAAGGTACGTCAGTTCACGGACAAAACTGGGCGGAGAAGGCAGTAGTAGTAAGTATAGTAGTAGCAGCAGTAGTTGCAGTAGGTTATGGAAGGGAAAGTAAGTAGCAAAGTAGTAGATATAGTAATACCCAGTGCATGGATGTAGTAGGTTTGTGCAGTACCTACTTAGTACTGAGTACGAACTAAGGGAAATGTACCTAGAGCGTATTTCGTGGTATACTTACTCCTACTACTTCAGGTTCTAGCTGGTAGATCAGTCGGTAACCTCCGTACAGATGTCCTGACTGGAGATTACAAGTACTAGTAGTAAGTCGTAAATGCTCTAGGTAACCTGCTTCCTGTTCTGCATCAGCCGATGAGAATCGATACAGATAGATAGGACCTCCTACCGGGAAACTAAGTACTACTACTAAGTTACTGAGATACATCGAAGGGCTGGATCCCACCGATTTTGAGGAGGGGACCCCCCGGTTCGTTGACACCTAACCTATCAGATCTATCCAAGGAGATTATTACGGACAGCCAGACACGAGGCCGCCGCCGACGATGCGATACATCCAGATTTCCAGATAGCGAGAAACCTGGAGCTGTGGGCGAAATAGAGAAAAAAAAAAAAAAAAAAAAAAAAAAAAAAAAAAAAAAAAAAAAAAAAAAAAAAATGGGGGGAAAAAAAAAAAAAAAAAAAAAAAAAAAAAAAAAAAAAAAAAAAAAAAAAAAAAAAAAAAAAAAAAAAAAAAAAAAAAAAAAAAAAAAAAAAAAGTTTAGGGGGGAAATAATAATCAAAAAACAAAAAAAAGGAAAATAAGGAAAATCAGAAAATAGAAAAAACAAATAATGAAAAATAAGAAAATAAAAAGACGCAGGTCTTGCACAACGATTGGGCCGCCAATTCGAATAGTAATTCAGAGTAAAGGCAGGTACGCTAAACCCCAATCAGATGATGGGTGGGGGAACTGCCGCTGATTGGCAGGGATCTAGATTGACCAGCAGGGATCTGCCATTGGGTCCAAATACCACTAAAGGCGCATGGTAAGGCCTCGTACCACATCGGGTCAGCATCCTGTATCGTGCATGACGGCTCGTATCGTGGTTGCGAATGGTCCGTTCCTAACTAGCAATCAGGCAAAGTAAGTAACAGCAGTAGGCTCCCCGAGCTTGAACAGAATGACATGATGATGGAGGTGTGTCTTCTCCTCCCACCGCAGAGATTTTCCTTTGCTTCCTGGTGTTACACTGGCGGTCAACTACACCAATGACCGTTGGCCTAGCGCAGAATATACTTGGTTAGTTGAGATTACTGAGAGCACATTGGGTACTTAGAGACCGTACCCGATTCTCAAGTGGAGCAGCAGAACCTGGTATCCATGATAATGTCGTTGATAACTCAAAAAGGGCAATTGAATGGTGGATTGATGAAAGGATTAGGTCAACTACGAGAATGGACAATTAACCTTTTTTCTCCTCCTTTTCTTGTCAATATCTTCTTTCTTTCTCCGGGTTGCCTATCCTCTATTTCCAATCGAAAGAAGCATAGCTCGATTTCTATTATCTGTCTCTCCATCTTTCTATTTTTCATGTGTATGAGAGAGAGGAGCTTGTACTTTCTTTTTGCTTTCTTAACCATTGTTGGCTTGTTTCGCCTCTACTTAGATTAATTATATGGATGTTGCGCGTTTTATCTTCCATCCATCCTGTAGAATATTCATTTTGGAAGCAATATATCCCGCAACTGGGACGAAGAGCGATGTGAGTGGACCAGGCACCAACGAATAGATGAGGGGATCGGCTCGGACAAAAGTTATGGAAGATTGAGAGGAACCCTCGAGGGCAAACCAAGGTTCAATTGACGGAACGGGGAACGGATCGATAAACCGCTGAACCTAAATGCCCGCATGACATACGTGCGGACAAAGAAAGAACTTCGAATCTATACTGGAATGTCGCTCATGATCAAGCGGCGAAATCCCAACGGTTTCCTACTGGAGATAACCCCCAGGATGATAAGTGGGATTTCTCAATTCCCAGCACTGCCCGGTCCATGTCGCTTTGTGGCGTTGACCGAATGTCAGATCTGACTGAAGAAGGTGGAGACCAGGGGAGTGGTCGCATGAGATGAGGGGAAGACCACTGGAAATGTAGAAGTACAGGTCATCAGGAGATAGTAAGGAAGTAGTGGCCTGTGAGGAGAAGGGGGGGTTGGAAAGGAAAAGGAAGGGAAAAAATGACAAAAGACGAAAAAAAGAAAAATCAGAAAAGGGAAGAAAACGGAATAGAAAGAAACATTGACACCGGCAAAAAGCGGTCGATCTTTCAGGGAGACTAAAGGCGATGAGGCCTGAGTGGTGCAGCTGGTTGAGCTAGATTGCCACTTTCGGAAGTAGTTTCTGTTACCTTACTGGTATTAGGAAGGTTGTCAGAATATGATTCCGACGCCGAGTTTCCGTCCATGGCATAATAGACTTCACACATCTGAGGATTCCGTATATTTCCCTCGCTCTCCTAGTGCTTAGCGCAATCCAGATGAATAATGATTATTCAATCATACTATGTATGTTTTTTTTTCTCATCTTTTCTAAATTATTTTTTTTTCGCCTGGAAGTGACTCGGGCCTGCTCACCAATAGTCGACGCCCATGCCGACAGCCAGTCATCAGCGAGTAAATGCGATCTGCATAGTACTTTGTCACGAGAAAATACCGTCAGACGATTATATGGACGAATGAGAAGCCGCAGACCGATTTCAATTTATTTTGTCTGCCATGCTAACATGGGGGTTGACCAGGGTTGAAATCCAGACTCCCCCTATCAGAGAGTGCACAGACCGGATGGGTTCTAGTCAGGGAGAGTCGGTTCCTTTTAGCACGACCGAAGTTCAAACCAGCATGAGGTCCTAGAGCTAGGACCCCACGGTCCACCTGGGACCCGCTGCGGTCCACTCCGGGCCGACAACCTAAGTAAGCAATGCAAATCGTCGCACAAGTCGTACCCAGAGAAATTGGTAGGAGTGGATTGAGGAGGGGCAGTCGTTGGTCTTCTGGAAGCAATGCAAAGGCAAAAAAAGATTCTTGGGATATGAAAATAGCAAAAAGTTGGAAGAAATCCAGGCACGGGGGGGGCTCCGTTGTGCGAGTAACAGAGGGGATGGATTGGGCGGATGAGAGTTTCGACGCATTGGGCCATGCTTACCTACTTACCCGCCTTGAACGTGAAGATAGTGATCGGCCATTGATCATTCGAGGGTAAAACTTTTCCTAGGTCCGGTGTAACTTTCAGTCCACTGCGAATCATTGCAAGCTTTTAGCCCTACTTGTCTGACTCCCTGGGAGTCGGAGTCGGAATCGGACGGTTGGAATTAACTTCCTGTCAAAGTGCGCCCCCCTCCTCCTTCTTCCCCCCCAAATGTCCGCTAAAACAGTATATCTTATCAGCCAACATAAACTGACCAGGTACTGATCAGAAGAGGCGAGGGAAAAAAAAAAAAGGTACTGCATTTCACTTCGACCCTCTTGCCGTGCGACTTCTGGGTGCCCTGAGCGGAACGCGACAGGTCTCCCTGCAAGTGCAGCCTTACTGGGGCTTCAATAGTGCCCGAATAGTACTAGGGGCTAAGAGTTCCCCGTATTTGGTCTTTTGGTATCAAACGTTATGTAAGGACGTATGCTGTACCCTTCGGGGATGTGAGACTGATCTGGAATCATTTCTGGTTGCATCTTCCGTTGCCAATCCGCCCCGCTTGGGCGGAAGGCCACGAGGCTGCTGTCGTGAGTCAGGTACTAAGTGATTGTATGTAATACATTTGCCGCCCAGTCGAGCCTTGACTACCCGTCACGAAATGATGTATATGAAATTAAATTAAGCGACAGCATAGACAGAAGTCCAGAACAACTAATATAAGATATGATTAGGTGTATCAGCAAGATGAAAGGATACAATGAAACAGTGAGAATGAAAGCTGACGAAAGCTGATACTGATTGTAAGCAATGCTCCCTGAGACAACGGATATTGTTACCATGAACCCTACTATCTTTTCCAGAGGTCGTTGCCACTTTCCATGCGTAGCAGCACAGCCGAATGCCCAACAGATGATCTGCTTGTACCTGCCAATCAGAGGAGCCAGTTATTTGGTATTTATGAAATGTTACCACATGAAGCGATATCCCAGTATACGCTTCCTATGTGGAGGGAGGTTTGCTATCTTCACTGATGTATACTGATGAAAGTCACACATACTCTACACGTACACAAATCTTCTTTCCTGACTCGCTTCTGCCTGGTCGGTCCAGTTCTCAAGATGCTGCATTTCGCCCCTTCCAAAAGAAAGCTGGAGTGGGAAAGGAAAGGGAGGATATCGCACAAGAAGCATTGAGGTCATAGTAGAGGCCAGCAGCTGCTGGTGACGGCGCTTAGAACTGAACTGCTACTGGCTGAATTCGATGATCCGCTCAGCGACAGGGCCTCGCATGGACCAGGGTATGTAAGTACCTAGCAGAGGAGAAGGTCGGAAAGGGGAATGGCCGGGGACGGGCCGGGGGTGCGACAACAGGCACCGAATGAGGCACCATTTCGTGGTAGCCTTACCGGTTTACCAGACCAATAATAGATATCTGTCAGGTACACAAGCCATTGCAGGAGTCAAGGGGGCTTCTACTGGATTCGTTTATTCCAATGTAGCATGTCCCAGGTACATGCAGTGTGCACCGCTTTGTCCCACCATTCTACCTGGCTAATTACCACCGTAACCGCCCATGGTGGGATTCGAGGAGAGGGGTGGTTCGTCCTAAACGGAATACTTCCGAGTCCGACAAATGCCTGAATAAATGTCTCAGTGAGTATGACATCACATTGAAAGGACAAGATGAACCATGAGTAACTAGTGGACAGTGGCGGGCGTCTGCTGGACGACTATGTAGCGGTGGGATCAGGAATGACCGAGGTAGACTACTATGTGTGTAAGTGTAAAGTGTGTGAAAGAGCGAGGAGATCTGAGGCCTACATCGGAGTGGAGATTGGCGGGTGCAGTTCGCGCCTGCCTGACCAGATCCCTACGATCCCGAAACAGGTAACATACACCACTTACCCATCTACCCATCTACCCATCTCCATGTCTTCCGATCGCCGATATAAGGGTTCCTTGACCTTTACAATACCTTCTCCGCTTCAAGCGCCATTCCTCACATTATCGATCACAAACAACCCTCGACCTCGTCGTGGGGTTTCCTTTGTATGTTGACCAGCGCAAGCCACCACGGCTGTATTGGCTATGGTGAGGGCCGAGGATACCGCGTTATCCAAGGCAAAATTGCCTGGAATGGACGGTGGTGAAGAGAAATGGCGTAACAAGAAAGCTCATTTGTGCGAGGCCGTTTCGCATCGTGATATTCCCGGCAAATAAGGTGAGACGGGCGGAGAAGGAAAGGCACTTAGATGCAATGCAGCCTCCACTTCCTTCCCAGTGGGAATCAACGTCCGTCGGACGGTGCATTTTCGGTCATCTGATGAGCAAAAAATTCGTCTGGGTTTTATGGAGCACTGAGAATTGGGAATCACGGGGACTAGGGGGGTTTTCAGCCATGACTCTTGGCGAGGCCTTCTTCAGACATCCATTCGGCCTGTCTGTCGAGGCTGTGCCGCAGCAGAAGAGCAGATCTCATCAGGAGACAATGTATTCTCGCAAGTGACCAGGGTGGTAAAAAATGACGCTTCGATCGGATGCATTATCCAATTTTCGCTAGATCATCAGTATTCGTCATTTGGCCACTCATCATCTTCCTGGAGATACTCGGGGTTGAGAACGGCACCCCATCACTGCAGGAGGTTATCTGCTGAAATGATCATCATCCGCCATGTTAAACTGCTCCACTTGGCTGAGGTTCCCTGTCCGCTTGCTTTTCCAGCCTGTTTAGTGTCTCCAGCTCGGGCTTGTCCTCCCTAATTTCGTTGCTAGTTTTGCCCCTCCTTCCCACCATTTCCTGCTGGGGGGTCTCAATCATCCTTCCCCCATCGCTACCAAGTTTTGTATACAACCTAACCCATTTCCCTTGCCCTCCCCACCCAGCCCGCCGCAAAAAAAGCAGTCGTGCATTAACTAACAGCAACGGTGACTCGCCCGTCATATGCAGAAGGACGCAGACTTTGAAGTAAGGCGCAGGACAAGCTCCGCTTCGCAGGATTAGTAATACTGAAGGGGATTTCCCGGATCTTATAGGAATGAGGTCTTGTTATGTGCAGGGAATAATTGCCGCCCGTCATGACAGCTTCTTTCCATCCCGCTCGCCCGCGCAGACCGCTTCTTGAGAGACTGTCAGTAGCCATGCACAGGGTACTCTATACTCCGAGGAAACCTTCCAACTTGCATTATCGCATGGAGCAGTCGGTTATCAAGAGCCTCGCCTGGAGCCGGTCATTGGTCCAGGGGGGTTGACACTGACCAAATTACTTATCCGGTCGTTGAGACATGAGGAAATGTCCTGCAATATATTAATTAGAAAGAAAATTAAAGAGTCTAACCTACTAACTGATTAGTGGATAGGCAAGGCAGTGAAATGATTAAGCCATTCTCATCCGAAGTCGAACAATTACTCTGTTTAGTAACTGCCGAATTAAACCCAGGATAGCCATAAGCTTACCATATTCCCGAGAAACCGCCAGCGCTGAAAGAAAAGGATAAGATCGCAAACCCGAGAGAAACTTTCTGAACCACTGACGCCATGGCCTATTTAGATACCTAATTAGTATCTAGACGATGGCTACGGATTGACCGATTACGCCGCCTCTCTTACTAGTACTCCAGTATAGTAGGTATCGGTACTTACCCCCCTCTCCTGGTAATCGTACCGTACGGTCATGACAGGTACGTCATCCCAGCAAATGAGAACTAAATGAAGACTCGGCTGAAGGGGGCAGACCGCATTACTACCTTACCAAGTACCAAGTACTTACTTAAACTAGTCAACTAATAAGATAATAATCCCTGCTGGATGGGGTGAGTGTGTCCTATCGAAGTGTTCTCCTCCCAAGTACCCCAGACCCTGTCCGCATCTGCAGGCGCAGCCATTAGCTGCAGAAGGTCAGGTACTACAAGAGTACTATGTAACTGTTAGTTGGGCATGGCATTACTATCCCACATTAATTCATTTATTTCAATATCAAGAAATCACCACAGCACCAATCTGAATACTACGTTAGAGGAGACTGGCCCGGCAGTGAGTGTACGGAATGCCGTGCCCGACCAATTCCCCTTTAATTCACCTGTACACTAAACTAGTAACGGCTACATATTAGCTAGAATGAACGCACCGATCTCATGTTTCTTCCTGTCTTTCTTGCTTGCTTACTTACTAACCAACCCCAGAGGCGTTCAATCTTGGCCCTCCACTCGTATAAATGGAGCCTTCGTTTAGAATGGACCAAGAAATGCCACCCCATTCTCCATTTTGATTGGACCTGACTCCTGAGTGCTAAATTGGTCGCGAACGGTAAGAATAGCACCATACCTAGCCACTTTTCTATTAGTATGGAGTAGACAATAGTAGTCAAGTCATATTGATTCGAGATTGCTATCTACTTACCTATGCTTCTATGTCTCAAGTTTCGGAATCACTACTACTCGACTAAACAGCCCAGCGAGCTTTCCCAATCCATACTACCAAATACCGATCCATCTATATCAGCTATATCAGCTACCTACCTACCTACCCAGGTTTAAGATAGTATAGATGTGCACTTGGCCAGGCCAGACCCGACCAGGGTATCTTCTCCATTTACTTACTACTACTACTACTACTACTACTACTACTACTACTACTACTACTACTACTACTACTACTATCCCCCTCGCATAAGTTAGATCGCATCGCAAATCCGATCCCAGCGCAGCAGTAGAAACAATGCTTAAATGTGTTCAGTCCTTCTATCCACATACAAACGCACATACATACATACATACATACATACAGCACAGCAGCAGCAGCATAATCACGAAGTGATAACTACGATGATCAGATATCCCAAAGCACGGGGAATGTGAACAGTGCGTATGTATGCACTTAAACATCGAGCGCATGGATCATCTTCATTACTATATTAAATCAAAGCTTCTCTTCCCACTCCTGATAAATGACACACACCATTGATTAGAGCATTAAGGAAGGAAAACCGGCAAGGAAGGGAACCAACCAAACAAAATAAGAAATAAAAATATTAATGAATCAGAGGGACGTGCGTTGTGCTTTTTTCTCTTCTTTTCTTTTCTTGCTTTTTTCGCTTTCTTGCTTGCTTGCTTGCTACCTAACTAGCTAAGTAAGCTAACTAGTCAAAAAAGCACAGGCCTGGGTTCGGCTGGTCCAAGCGATGTGGATGTGGAAGCCGGCCTTGAACTTAAATTGTAGAATACATGAATGCTACTACTAATAGACAGAGACAATCGAACTACGCCTGGGTCAGGAAGGAAGGGGAGGAAGGAAGGAAGCGGTCGGTCAATCAATTAATCAATCACAATTAAATCAAATCAAATCATCTTCGAAGAAAGGAACTGAAAGGTAGGTGGTATAAGTACGTAGTAGTAAGCGAAGCAAATCCCTCCGCACGGAACTTGGTACTAACTAGTGGTTTAAGAGTTACTCGATTGATCTGTATGCGCATGAAATGGAAGTATGTGTGTGGTAGATAGTTTGGTTAGTTTATGTTGGTCTACGAGACTGGAAATGCTAGTCTGGGCCTTTAGATCTAGAACATCCCCGATCTTCTTGTCTTTCTTTCTTTCTTTTGTCTTTTCTCGGATCGGGACACCCGGCTTCGACCATAGTACATCATCAACCAAGGATGGATGGATGGATGGGTCGGAGGAACGCTCCAAAAAAAAAAAAAAAAAAAAAAAAAAAAAAAAAAAAAAAAAAAAAAAAAAAAAAAAAAATAAGAAATAAGAATAGAAAGAAGAAAAGTGAAACCCCAAAATATAAAAGAAAATATAAAAACGGCAGGACTACTTAAGTACCGCTGATTCGGGAGAACAGATTGGAAGAGAAAGAAAGAAAAAGAAAATAGTACCCTATTCCAGCCCTTTTTTTCAGCGTTCGTAACAAAAACTCCCTACCTTAAAAGCCGCTTTTGTTTTTTCTTCTCCTCCTTCGCCTTCCTAAAAGAGGATCGCGCATCACACAGATTTGAGTAGTAGTAGATAGAAGAGCAGCAATCCGATCCATACTGACTCCATGGTGTCTATCCCATCCAGGCTTCCGTCTTCCAGACGAGTGATCGTGCTGAAATTCCAGGGCGGCGTTCGCCAGCTTCTTCTTGCTGCCCGTGCGCACCTCGTCTTCCCCCAATCACAATCCTTATGGCATCTCACGGAAATATGTCACAAGGGCCGGGCCTCTTGGACCTGATACTTGGCGAAGCAGCCCCAACACCGCTACCGATTTCGATTCCCTATTCGAGTCCGATTTCGATTCGCCATAGCTCTCGCCCCGTTCATAAAAGCGGATCCTTCAAGGATTGGATTCGCGCTCCAGTAAAAACTCATTTACCGCTTGACAATCGACACTGCAGTTCACACCCCCGCTAGTTAGCCCTGAAGATCCTAATGATCGCGTGTTTGAGGTTGAAGCTAAAGAAGAAGTACGAACCGATATCTTCGTCTGCCAGCTCGTGTGACAGACCAACACGCTGCGGCTGGTGCTTCACGGAGCGACCATACACAATAGCGTGCTTGAACTGGTCCTTGATCGTCCTGTGAATTTGATTACACTGATTGCGCGTCAGCGGATCCCGTCTAACAAGGATGGTCGGACCTGCCGAGGTAAAGGGAGCCTTACGAAATCCTCGACCGTGCAAGCATGCGCTCTGAGCACCACGGGGGCCGTGTAATCGGGTGCCTTTCCTTTAGGCTTGGTGTAGATGCGTCGGAGGTTGAGCTTTGCCCACATCATCTCCAAAAGTTCGTCGATGTTCCAGCCATGCTCAGAACTGATCGGGCAGGCGTTAGGTATCCGGTACAGCAAATCCAACTCCTCAATCGTAATAGCGTCAATCTTGTTCAGGGCATAGACGACGGGAATGTAAGCCCGACTCTTAGCTTCAAGAACATCAATAAGGTCATCAATCGTTGCGTCACATCTAATGGCGATATCTGCCGACGAGATCTTGTACTCGCTCATGACAGCTTTGATTTCCTAATGATCCAAGTCAGCCCAAGTGACGTCAACGTACTCTGTGCTCTGGAAACCCACGTCGTGATCAATATGCGTCAGAGGAACGGTGCTTGTGATGGCAATACCACCCTTGTCCTTCTTCTTGAAAGTAATATTGGGCGGCTGTTTGTTGATACGGATACCAAATCCCTCCAATTCGTTCTCGATGACCTTCTTGTCGACTAGCGGCTTGTTGACGTCGAGCACGATGAAAATGAGATGGCAGGTCTTGGCCACTGCAATGACCTGTCGACCACGACCTTTGCCATCTTTGGCACCCTGAATAATACCAGGAAGATCGAGAATCTGAATCTTAGCACCGTTGTACATCACTTGACCAGGGACAGTCGTCAAAGTCGTGAACTCATAAGCAGCAGCTAGACAAAGTACCGTTAGCACCATACCATTGACTGGGACTTGCCTGCAACGAACCTTCGGAATGTTGGCCAGTCAATCTGCTCATCAGGGTACTCTTTCCGACGGACGGGAAACCAATGAAACCGCTATTCAGAGTCAGTATATATCCCACACTCCAAGACTTGTCATGCGACATACACACTAGCAACACCGGTACGGGCGACATCGAAACCAGCTAGCAATCCAATAGTCAATAACTGACACATCCATTCGACACAGTCACTCTCCACTTACCACCACCGCCGCCACCACCACCACCGCCAGTCGGAGTCAACAGCTCTCGCTTCAGCTTAGCAAGCTTGGCCTTCAATTGTCCTACACGATACCATCAGCTGTCTGTTCGCGAACCACCTCCAAACCCATTCGTCTCATACCCAAGTGGTAAGCTGTCGCCTTGTTCTTCTGAGTCCGAGCCATCTGAATAACCGATCAGTATACGAATTCCGGCGCAAGATAAATTTAACGGGCATTCGGCGCGAACCTCGTCCTCGACTTGTTTGATCTACATTGGTACACACAAAGACAGTCAGCATAATCCAGTCTGATATTATAACTTTCAATATGAACAGTAAAGAGAAATAGAATAGAGCAATAGTGGCGGGCTATCCAACCTTCTCCACGGTTGTCGACATTTTGGCGGTTTTATACGAGTTTCACCCCTCGCACACGGTACAAAAAAAAAAAGAGACTATGCAAGACAAAAGAAAGGAAAATCAAGGAAATCTAAATTTGCAGGATCTCCGCCCTAGCGATCGAAACCCTTTTCCAACGGTGTCGTGGTGAGAAACCTGAACGAAAACGCTCGCGGTATGTCAGTCGCAATGGTGGAGATACAATCTTTGAAATTGTGGCCGCCACTTCATTTGTCCGTTTGCTTCGTCACATGGCGGGGAGGTTGCCTCAGGCATGAATGTTCAGGCATCCAATCCACGCTTATCGGCGATTGTGGCAAGAGCTTTTCCTTCCGCCGGGATCGGGGTTCATCCCACATATCCACCATCACGCAATTCTTAACGTTCAGATACATTGGCTGGTGACTCGTATTTTTAGTGGCTGCAATGGATGCTGTTTGAGTTATTCTTGCTTTCATCCATTTCATAAGTTCAATTCGTCCACTCAAGGACACCTACACATTCCTTCTGCACACTGTCTTTACCACCTTCTATACTTCCTTCCGAATCCTCCGATAACCGAAATCATCTATATCATACAACACCGAACCAAGGAAAAGCACAAAAGCATTACTTTTCATAAGACCAAAGTTACATAACCAGCATGCCATACATCAACACAGACACCCCCTCCAAACCTAATTCATCTTCCAGCAATGGATTCGAGAACCTCGTCCAAGATCTAAGTGACGCTTTGGGTCCGAGCTCGGGTCTAGATTCCGATGACATTGATCCAATGGACATCCTGCGCTTAATGGAACGATATGATTCGAATCCAGATGAATGGCTTTCCTTTGCGCTGGGAGACTCGAAAAAGAACTACACAAGGAACCTCATCGATGAGGGCAATGGCAAGAGCAATTTGGTGAGTTGCTCGTACTTTGCTTGCATTTAACCACCGCTCTTATGTACAATAGCATAGAAGCTATGTACTATTACAGATCTATACTGACATATGATATTCAAGCTCATCCTAGTCTGGAGCCCTGGAAAGGGAAGCGCAATACATGATCACGCCAATGCACACTGTGTCATGAAGGTATTATATCCTCCCTAAGAAGGAGGTCATCCGCCCACAAAATTAACCACCGATCCAAATACTTTTATGTAGATTCTCAAAGGCTCTCTGAAAGAAACCCTCTATGCCTGGCCAGACCAAGACAAGCTGCAGAATGGAGAATCGTCTCCACCGCAAATAAAAAAGGAGACTATATACGGTGAAAATCAGGTTACGTATATGTCCGACAAGGTACGTTTACCCTACATTATTCAAGTTCCACTTTGTCACATGAAACGATTAGGCAACGCATGATCAGACATGGCTAATGATGAGTCGCATCGTGTGTCTTGCAGCTGGGCCTTCATCGAATCTCGAATCCGGATCCTAATGATTATGCCGTGTCGTTGCATTGTAGGTCTAACCATCATATCATGAATATTACTATGGGTGTGATGGCATGCTAACTTCGATAAATTTGAAAGTATACACTCCTCCCAACGCAGCAACGCACGGCTTCTCAGTCTTTGACGATAAGACCGGCAAAGCCTGTCATATCAAGACGTCGCATGTTTATTCGGTCCGGGGGGAGAGGTGTTGATTTGAGTCGCTGTTTGTTCTTTTTTATCCTTATACCACCCCTACTTATCCTTAGCTTGGTGATTGCGTTCTGTTGTATGGCGTCTTGTCATTCGATATCCATCTGCTGTTTGTGAAATAGATTAGATGAGGGCATGTAAATATTCTCAGAAGGTTGAGGAGCTGCTGACTAGCGCAAACCTCTCACAACGCATCATAGCTCTTTCATTCGCTCAATAAAACCACAGTATTAATAAACATAGAATAACAGTCGTCAACTCAGTCTTGAGACACTCAAAGCAGATCAAAATCACAAGGATGCGCTCCTAATGTATGGCATAGTAACAGTTTGTATCCGCAAAACGAAACAACACAGCAATCGGATGCATATGCATGTGGGTCAATAAGATACTGTACAATGCCAGACAAGGTATAGAAAGGAACAAACAAGAAGAGAGGACTAGCGAAGATAACAATGCTGTGTGCATAAACGAAACACAAAATGCAAAACAAGACAACTAGCTAAAAGATGAAGATAAAACTCGCAATTGCCGAGGAATAGATAGAAACATCGATGCTCAAAACAAACGCATGTCACACATAATATCGTACGTAACTCATGACTATGACTCCCTCAAGCATGACCAGAAGCAGCCGATGAGCGCATCAAGATCCGCTCAAACAGCAAATCTGGATTTTCCAACACTTCGGACTGACGTCGACGAAGGTCCTCGAGGCCGACTGTAGGGTTCTGTAAATCTCCAATATAAGTACGTCGCTCGAAGGAGGTGCAAAAAGATATCAACCGTGATACCCACCCAGTCCTCCTGGTTCGGCACACCGTGTGCGGGCGGAAGTAGGCCTGTGTCGGAGTCTTCTTCACCTGGGATAGGGGGCTTTCTGCGAATAGGTGCGGGGGTTACGGGGAGGCTAGGCCGTTCTTCCTCGCTGGGGAAGTCTGTCACCCGTGTATTGTTGGACCAGCTGAAAGTGTATCTTTCTTGGCCGGATACTAGGCTCTGTCCTGTGCTGGATGAGCCGCCGGTGAGCACCTGCACCTTGCCTTTGCGGGCTTGTTGTATGGATTGGATGTATCTTTGGATCTCCGGGATTTCGTCCCAAGCATTAGACCGCGTGTAAGAGTCCCAGGATTCAGTTGGATCTTCAGATGTCCAGGACGTCACTCGAGAATCAGGTGACGGGCCAGATTCATCTTCTGTGCTTTCAATGAATGATCTTGGAAGCGTAAATGTAGTTGAGCTCTGGTCGTCTTCTGGGAACACACGCGTTGGTCTAGGCGCACGAGTCTCCCAGGGAAATACCTGGGCAAGCTTTTCGGGCTCCGGCTTGGTGCTTGGGACTTCATAGTACATGTTCTTGGGTGCTTCCGGGTAGGATTCTGGAGGCTGGAAGAGCTGCTCATCCTGCGACATAGCGTAGGTCTTCTTCTCCAAAGCGATACCTTCTGGCTTCGTGTTCAATGGTGGAGGTTCCCTGAGAGTGTTAGCAATGAGCTATCAAATAGGATTCCTCGGTAGCTTACTTAGATGCATCCCATTCTGCCTTAGGTGGCTCAAACGTAGTCTGTACTTCAGGTTTTGGAGACGGCGGTGCAAGTGGCTGCTCGTCAGGCACATTGACTGGCTCTGTAAGCTGTTGATGGTACTCGTGCTGGACATATTGTGACTGTGGAGGATATGATTGTATGTTTGATGGCACGCTAGCTTCATGTGCATGCGATTGCGGCTCGCTATGGGCTACAAATGATGTCTCGCCTGATTGAGGATGTATGTATGCCGTGACATGCTCTTCTCCACGAACATACCGCGGAACAGCACTTATGATTGGTGCTTGTGAACTCTCAACCGCACGCTGTTCCTGTCGTTGCTCGTGCTCAATGGGTACACTTGAGCCTGCTACAGGCGTAGATTCAGGAGCTGGCGCTGCCACACTCTGTTGAGGATGTACTTGGTAAGTCTCATGCGTTTGGTGCACCTGTGGAGCCTCGTGCGCAAATTGTGTAGAGTAACTTGGTGCCGATGCTGGTGGTTGAGTTGGTGGCTGAGCTGGCTGGAACGGCGCGAAGTCCTGGTGAGAAATCTGTTGATGTTCTTGCGGGTGTTCGTATTGCGCTTGCGACGACGGTTCGAAGTGTGTTTCTTGAGCTTGCTCATGAGACACATACTCCGTATACTCTCTGTGCGGCGGCGGCGGCGGCTGTACATCCTCCTGGTGACCCCCATAGAATTCCTGATGTGGGGTTTGCACCTGAACTGTAGGCACAGGCTTAGGTAGCTGGATTGGCTGCTGGTATAATTAGCTCATGGACACTATGTAGAGATGCCTCAATGGCTATCCGTGGGATAATACTGACATTCGTAGTCACGACAGGACGATAGTGCCTATCGTAGACAGCCCACCATCTTCCCAGCAACTGATTATAGGGAGATTGAATTGGTTCCACCTGCCTCGCCATATTCCAGGGCTTCTGGGCACCAATAAAATGAATCATGCTGATCGTACTTTGAAAATGCTTGTAGGCGGGGATATACTGGTAGTTCGCACTGGGTGTGCAATTGTACGAAAAGCTCAGTCTGTGCCAATCGCGAAAGTGCATGTTCAAAAGACCCTGATCAGCGCCATCGAAACTGATACCTCGCTCTGCCAATGCTCTAAGAGCAAGGTAATCCTGTAGATTAGGACGGAGCACCATAACACCGCTGTTGAAGCAATCCGGCCAGCCTACGTCTGGAACCGCTGCGAAATCCACCTCCAACTCTAGGAGTTCATCGGGCGCTCTGAGTGCGACCACATCACAATCAATGTAGACTATGCGCTTGTACTGTATTTGACGCCAGAGCTCAATCTTTGTGAAGGTTGCAATCAAATCCGGCCGATCCATGAGCCAGAGGTTCGCTGGAGTGATGTTTGTCAGAGGGTGCACGGGGATTAGTTCATCATAGACAGCCTAAAGCGTGCTAGTTAGTGACGGCCCTGTGAGGTGAGAATTATTTCGCGTGAACGAATCATGCGCGCGCACCTGGAGTTCCTGGATAGTGGCTGGCTGCAAGCTGTCCGGGGTGAACAGAGCAACCAGCTTAGCTTTGGAGCCATTGTCGCGGAGAGAATGAGCAAGAACGGTGGCGCCTATAGATTGAGTGGAAGCAAGTCAGGAAGGGACCTCTAAACGGTAGTCTAACGGTCACAGGAGCAAGCATACCTGGGAGATAGTGATCACTCAGTAGAAGCTGTCGGGGAACCAATTAGTAGCAGGCAACGTGATCACGGGATGAGGAGGCGGAACATACAGTGCAGTAAACGGCACTTCCTTGAACCATTGCGGCGGGAGGTGAGCCGCGCGATCCACGAGACCACCAGCTACGAGAAAAGGGAGTGATGCAAAGAAACAAAAACAAACGAGTGTGAGGTGCACGAAGACGAGAAGGAAAGCAAAGAGGAGAGAAGGCAGGTTGAGAGCTAGTCTAGGAGGTACTGAGCTAGTTCACCCCCAAATTACTACGATCCCCCTCACTCGCAGGTGACGTTTGGAGCTAAACCCCGCCCGCCAGCATAATCAGCAATCAGCAATCAGCAAAGTCGGTCCCCGCTGTGAGCAGTCCTTGGGAGGCTGGGGAAGTCAAGATGTGGATGGAACCAGACTTCTTTTCTGGTTGGATTTACGAATACCCGCACAACAACTGAATTGAATTGCTGTGCTTGCTGGATGATGGGGAATGGTGGACACAAGAAAAGAAGAAAAATAAAAAAGGATAGCTCGTTCGTGGCTCGGGACTACTACTCTGGGGGAAAGAAAAAGTCAATGCGCGCGCACTGGCTGGGGATGGTCTGAGGGGGGGGAACAAAAGGAGCCAAAGGCAACGCCAGGGATTATTGGTGAGGAAGCGGCAGAGCTCAACTGCATCAGGCCGCGTCCCCGTGCCACCGACGCTTGCTCCTCCCGGCCGTTTATTCACCGGATGTCGGAGGTGATGCACGTTGCGTTGCGAAAACTCCCGTCTATTTAAAGGAGGAAGGGAAAGAAGCTGTGGAATTCCGATTGCAGACCAGCCTAGAAGCCAGACCGACAGCCAAGCTCCGCGAATGCCCCTTGCATGTCCGCACTCTTTAATCCCCCTTGGAGTGCACCGATAGCGGTCTCGGCGCGGAAACAAGAAACCGTGTACCTGGCTTTGTGTTCCCCTGCACCTGCTGAGCCAGTCTCGGCAAAACATTCACAACAACTAAGGAAGGACTAGGCCAAAGGGCGTCCGTCCTAAAATAGCAATTCAAGCAAACAACACGATCGGATCAGTTCACTTCCGAAGAGTCACTACAGCCGTTGGATAGCAAGCCTTCATAACCGCCCCGATGTCCTCCTTCTCGCCCTTGACAGCCCACTCAACCGCCTTTTCCAAGGCAACCTGGCTCTCCCGTTCCATCGGAGTGAAGTGGCCCGAGAGTGGAAGCTCGACCAACTGACTGTCTGCGACAAGGTAATCGGCGAGGCCATCCAAGCAGATCTGCGGCTCCAAGGCAATGTCTCCCTTGCCCCAAATAACGGTCGCACAAGCTTTCAGGGCCCCCTTGGGTCCTTCATCAAACAGCCCAGCCCCGCTGCTGGCACGACGGGCACCGCTACCGCTCGCGATGCTGTGCAAGGCAGTAATCGTCTCAACAGATTTGTCCCAACGCGCATAAGCAGTTCCATCTCTGTAATAGCAGGCCATGTGCTGGAAGCTCGACGGTGCGCGCTCATTCTTCAATGACTCGGGATATTGCTCGCCATCAGCGGTCTGAGTCCTGGATTCTGCAACTGACGGACCCAAGGAGCTAGCAAAACACTCCGCAGCATCCTGAGACGTATACTCCCGCTTTCCGTAGGAGCCTCTGTGGATGAGCTTCAGGAAGGAATAATTTCCACCCCTTCCAAAAAACCGAACGAAAGGCATGGGCAGCTGCATAGCAAAGATGTACTTGGACTTGAAAAATTGCCGATAAACGGGGCTCATGGTGGCGAAGGCCTTGTAAATCATCGAACGCGATTGGATCGGCGAGCGCGAGGCCGTCTTCAACATCTTACCAGATGCAGACAGCAGACGACTAATGTTGGACGTGGCAAGTGCAGGCTAACTTCATCAGCACAACCGAACATACCCGTAGAATCTCTGCGATAACGTACCAACGGCCCATTACTCAAGATAAACCGATCCGCCAACTGAGGAGCTTCAGCCGCAAGTCGCATAGAAACTACACAACCCCAGTCATGCGCGACAACTACCAGCTTCTTCTGGCGCATACCAGCCTCCGTATCCACGCCATATTTGGCTCGGATCGCAAGGATGAACTCCGTCAGACTCTCGAGCACATTAGTAGGCGAGTAATCAGCCAAGCTATCAGTCCCACCATAACCAGGCATATCAACCGCAACGAGCGTCGCAGACTGCTGTAGAGACGAAGAGCTCAGAACATTGCGCCAGATGGCCCAGCTATCGGGGAACCCATGGATAAAGACAACCACAGGTTTATCCTGATCCACCGAGGCTCCTTGGTCGTTGCAAACGTAGTGAAACTTGAACCCGTTCTTCAGGCTAAGTATATGATGCGAAAAACCAGCCCAATCCTTGGACAAGTCCCAGAACTTGTTGCGCGCTAGGATTCATCATATGTAATCAGCTTTATGCCCCCGCACAGTCACCGCATGGCACACAGAACAAAGAAAAGCAACATAGACAAAATTCTTACCGATCTTCAACTCCAACTCCTCCTTTTCAGTAGTCTGCTTGAAGAAATACCCCAGTTTCACAGCAACAAGGCCATAAAACAACAGTCCACCCAATCCATATGTCAGAATCACGGCCGATTTAAGCTTTCCAAGCAACCAAGCTGTGGGCGTCATGATGCATGCATGCATGTATTTTATCCCATGCAGACACGGATACTGTCAATCAATCAATCTCAATCACCAGCACTACAGTACTAAGTGAAGTCCAACGACTGAAAGGTTGCAAAATCACAAAAAGGAAACAAAGAAAGTGAAGGGAAGAAGATGAGCTGACGACAACAACTGACCAGTGGAGGCCGAGGCAAATTTATAGTAGACCAGAGCAAAGCAAACAGAAGATCCACCTGACGGAACTAGTCCGAATAGGATAGGGGGGAGGGAGTGAGGATCTTAGTGGAAAAGATGGAAGGATTGAGGTGGAGGGGAAACGGTTCTTGGCTGGTGAGCAAGCATATTGGTAAGTGTGTGTTTGATAGACTTAAACTACCCAGTGCTGGTTAGTGCTTGCCTATTAATGGGGCAAATTCCGAGACTGGAAGAGGTCTCCGCCACCCAAGCTCTTCTTTCTCTGGAACTAACCAAAGTAACTCTATGGGAGGAAGAGACGAGAGGACTGGGGCCCGATGACCTAATACCCGCTCAGATGGGACCCGCAACATGTGAAACGGGGCCACAATTAATTATTTCTGAGAGTATAAGGGTTTTTGTGCAGTGGTGTTCGGTACAGGGCAACAGCATAAATAAGGATATAAAATGTGAGTTTCAGTTTCGATTTTTCGTAAGTCATATATACACATCAATCGGCGATCCCAGATTTTCGTCTCATCATAGCAAAGGCACCAAAACGCCATATATATCGTACGTTCCTTAAACATTGGGGAATCAGACAGAAATCAAAATAGCAAAACCTGGCAGTCATCATACAAAGCTAGACCGAAAATCCCAAATTATGTCGATTGTCGTCAACTAGGCGCCCGTACCTATTGGGTGGGTTGTTAGTATCAGGAAAGCAAAAGATACAAAGAGTGCACTTACTCTAGTAGAAGTCGGAAGAACCAGACCTCCATGTCCTCGTTTCGAAGAGCTTTCTGCGCCCATTCCCGGCCTTGCTGAGCCAGTCTTGGTGCGATCACTCTGCCCTCTTCTTCGGACTCAAAGTAGCGTATGGCCTCCAGATAATCATCTCCGGTTAGGCTCAAGGGTACGTAATGTGTCCAGGGTTTGAGCCACTCATCATGCCATTCGCGGAAGATTGAGACCTTATGAACGAGACTCCTGCTGCGTAAGAACGCATAGAACCGACCACTGAACGCATTCCCGTCCATGTCCAGCAGGTGTTTGTACGCCCAAGCGACTTGCTGATCAACCGGTTCCGCCAAGTCAAAATACTCTCCTTGGGCGGCACAGTCCTTGTCATCACATTGGCCAATGTACGTGAACCGAACGTCGAAGAGATCCACAAAGGAGTTTCGACCAACTCCTCTGGCCTTCCACTGGTTACTTTCAGTCTTGGACAGTATCTTGGCTGTATTGAGGGCATTAACATTGCCGACGAACAATTGTCGATGCTGCCGCCGCCAGCCCCCAGCTCTGGAGTATCCTCCAGTTGTTGAGCCTCTCCAGAACATCTGGCTAATCTTCTCATTCCACTCCATATCTTTGTCTTCTTCATAAGGTACCTGGTCAGACCAGTACCAAGGGCTTGGGTACAGGATGTCCTGGTAGCTCGAGATCTTGCTCTGCGAGAAGACCGGAAATAAGTCATGAACAGCCTCAAACCTGTTTGGCCGGTCAAAGAACCCATACTTGTGGCGGAGGGAAGGTGAGTTGCAAATGTCGGAGAAGGCGCTGGTGTTGTATATAAATCCTAACTCGCCCTGGGCGTAGGAGTTTACATTATCCGCGGCTTGCTCATCAAGAGAGCGGACCGGACTGTCGACTGGACAGGAAGACCGAGAGTAACTCCACGTGGACTGACGGGTGAACCGATTGAAACGGGTAGTACGCACTTCATCGATGCGGTCACCCTTATTCAAGTCGCCGGGTCTATCTGACCATGCATTTGTGGGCATGGTATTTGTAACGGTAATTTGAGAGACTTGCTCCCTCGCAATAGCAACCAGCCTCTGAAGATCTTCGCTAGGTACAACGACTCGAGGCTCATCGAGGGCATTGAATACAAGATCCATATCAGGCAGATATTCGACAAAACTCTCGATCATCTTAACGGTGGCACTGCGCTGCCAGCTCTGCTCGAATGCTCCGCCTTCCACCAGTGACACAGATCCATTTCTGATCAGTACGCCGATCATAGAATTGTCGAAGCCCAGCGTCTCGCGAGCCCGATCGCGAATAGTCTTCGGTTCGAGGGCCCAAAATGGTAACAGAGCATGGTATACTGTATCATATTCGTCAATCAGCTGGACCCCTCTATCTTTAGCAAATTGAAACCATTTGTCAAAATGCGGGGGCGGGTGCATGTTGTAACGCTCTCGATATTCATTGACAGCCTGAGCCAAGGTCTTTGATTGACGTGACAGTAGCCGATCAAATTGCTGCTCCGCATTTTTAACAAGCGATGCAATCGGATGAAGACTGTCCGGCTGAGCAGCCTTTCGGAGACCAGACTGTTCAATAAGCTGGGCATTGGACGGTACGGGGGGCCTCTGCAAAGTAGTCGGAGGCCGAGAATCGGGAGAAGGATAGAGGTCCACAATAGGTGAGGGTGAAGGGCTGGGACCTCTGAAGAATATGAGGAATAGGGAGACGAGGACAAATGTGCCCAGCCAGATCACAAATCGTTGGGTTCGCATCCTGCCACCAGGGCGAGCCTACGCCATGCAGAGAGACGAGGGTTTGTTGTTTGTAAACAAACCGGGAACTAAGCAGGAGCAATGATATTTAGTCTTCTCGGTGCCTTTGAGATGCTTCAGTCTCCCAATTCAGCGTGAGGCCAGAATTACCAAATCTCTGAAGAAAATTCTGCAGTAAAGAACAATGGTCAATGACGAGAATGTTTCACAAGCATTGCTAGCATTCCATTGATCTGCCTGATGGACGAAGAACGATGACGGTATCAACCAGCGGGAAACTTAATCGGTCGGTCCCTCTGGCAATCCCGCGCACTATACCCGTTTGGGGATTAGTGAGTGCCCGTGCCTGGTTATTCCTATTATCACGCGTCTCGATGTGGCCCCAGAGCAAAGTATAAGCGGCATACCAGTAATCCCATTACTTTCTCCATCCACCCGCTCCTCACAACGGTCACGGTCCAGCAGCCCACCCAGGCTAAGTGATGCGCAATATCGTTACAAACTTCTCCGGCGTGCAAATATCTTTGTTGACGATGATATTCCCATGGACATTCAGCAACATACGAATAATTAAATATTCCATGCATCAGATGCTTACGATGATTACTTATACAGGGTCTCCGAGAAGCTCCGGAACAAATCCAAAGAACTGGTCAGGAAAGCACTTGGAATATCCATAGGAAATGAATGGAGATATCTGAAAGGAAAGAGATGCACTTTGATTAATTGAGATAGCTAGAAGATATCAGACAAATAGAGAGACATGAGATAAAATTTTCAAAGCAAAATATGCGAAATAATGCAGCGGAGACGGAAGAACCAAGGTATAGTGCACTGAAATAGACAGGAAACCAAGGATGTAAAAGTGAACAACGCAACTGAACCCCAAGTATAGCGACAACGTAGCAAGATACACTGAATGAGTACTTAGCATAAACTCACTCAGATGTTTCTCAACTAGCTGTCTAGCAACTCGAGTAGCGGACCGAGCGAATTACGACAAAGGTATGTAGTTTTCCGGTCTTGCACGAGTCCACGGTCTTGGAGGCTGACGTTAAGTGTCAGGCTGCGGAGCAAGAGGACGTGTGGAAAAGCCAGTGTCGGTCCTTTCAGTGGAATGAGGAGGGGGGCCAGCGTCAGGGCTTCAGGGATAAGTTGAACGAGTGGCCGGACCAGTGAGGGTAGTATTGTCATCAGTGCGAACGGTTGGCAGGCCGTCCTCTACTGGCACGTAGGTCTTCTTGCGCTAGTCGATCTCATAGCGGTTAGGATTGCCGAGTCGGTCTTCCGACATGGAATAAACCACTGGAGTTCCTCGTATTCTGAGCGCAAGAAAGGTGGATATAGTTCCACGGCGACCTATGTCTCGAATGGCACCGGCCGGTACAGAAGTCGGGTAGAGTTGATGCAATCGCAGGAATGCATCCAGCGCGAAAAGCTGACAGTTTCGAGTGAAAATGTTATATATCTTGTAATGCTCGTACACTTTGTTCACTGCATCCTCAACTTGTGCAAAAGTAGCGAAAGCGTCGTCAAGTACTGTGAACGATATGGTGGGTCTAGTTTGGGGAGCTCTGATGAAGGTTCTTTGGATAACCTAGAAGATGTGGTACACGCAATGCAGCTTCTGCGCTCTTCATAGCCGATGTGATAGTGGATCCCTTTTGTTGCACCCATTTGATAAGTAAGGCAGAAAGATAGCCCAGTGCGGAGAGACTCCCATGTCCCCAGGATATAATATGCAGTGGCAATGGCCAGTCTTCTGGTATAGAAGCTTACCTAATGCTAGAAAGACTCGACATTCCGAGTCCAATGATAATAATGTTAGACGATGGATGGAGAACATTCTGTGCTAGTTAGTACTTGCCACAGCAATGTCTCTGTTTATATACCGTTCTTGTCATTCAATCTAAAGAGAGCCCTATGTGAGGATCCGACTTCACATCCACCCGTAGTAGTGAAAGTCAGCTTATAAGAAGTGACCATCCTGGGACTCTTGACTCGGAGTTCTAATCTCTCACTGGATAGCCTAGCGGTGTCATTTGGAGGATTCACAGTCCAAAGCGCACTAGACTGAATCCTAACACCTAAGACGAGAGAAGTAGATGGGAATCCTCTATTTATAACATCTCTATTAGTACTAGTCTAAATTGATTTATATATTGAATTTTTGGAAACTTCCGCATTAGGTAGTTACTATATTTTGACTCTCCTTCCACACAAAAGTACTATTACTAGAGTAATTGATAGCTTATATCCGGGGTTTACTGTACTGGAGTAGATAAGCGGGGGACATCCGCTGGCGAAACGGGTCCAGCCCATTTCTATTCCCCACCAATTTCAGCCAGCTCGGGAGTGGGCAGGAACCTATTCACCCACACACCATGTCTGCCCTCGAAGACAGAGTATACGTAACAGGATGAGACAGATAGAACTAACTATGGCGCACGTACGAAATAACGAAGCACTGTGCTAAGAAGACCTCCCGCTGCGGTGGTCGCGCCATGGCGCGCGCGGGCGGCTCATTTGAGGACGCCCAACAGTAGTTCGCGACTTCACATCCTTCCTTCCCTCAGTCATATTGACCCTCGCGGCTTTGCCATCACCTACAACATGTCAGAGGTAGAGGAGATTGAGGCCCGTCTCGCTAAGCAGCTGAAGGAATATCGGAGCATCATACAAGGCACAGACCTCTACGAGTATATGGGGAATCGCGTGGTGGAATCCCGAACCACAAGCGGTAACTTGGTCGCTGTGAAAGTGAACCGGAAGGAAGACTACAGGCGGTCGGAAGCTGAAATGATGCAGTATGCCCATGAAAAAGGGATCCTCACACCTCGGGTACGCGGTTGCTATTACGTGAAGAGGGGTGTTATAGCCACAGTGACTGACCGAGTGCCTGGCGATTCCCTTGATAAAGTCTGGCACACCTTAACCAAGTCTCAAAAGAGGAACATTGAACTCCAACTCAAGCAGCAGGTAGGCTTTATAATCTACATCGCCTGGTTTAGCAATTTGTGTGCTCACCTTTTCAAGGTACAAGAGATGCGGAAACACATCCAGCCGTATATTGGCCGTATCGGCAATGTCACGACATATAATTTCTTCGACCGCCTGCACAATAATGACATGGGCCCCTTTGCCTCAGAAGAGGAATTTGATGAGTGGTGCTTTGCCAGAGTTAAGTTTCCCTACCAACAGGCATTCTGGAAGCGATACTTGCCTAAGATGAGGAAGAAGAGGCCTTCAAAGTTCGTTTTGACACATGGTGATCTGTCTGCGCGGAATATTATGGTTCAAGATGGCCAGCTCACCGGGATCGTCGATTGGGGGTACAGTGGATTTTTTCCTGAATACATGGAGTATGCATTGGCAACGGTCATTCATGAATCTATAGAGGATTGGTGGCTTCCCGTGCTTAAAAGGGTGCTGGAGCCCTCTGGGTACCTCCGGGCCAAATTTATCGCTACCATCAAGGATCGAGGGTGGTAGTCACCCTTGTCCTCTTGCTCTTCTCTCGTCTGTCTTCTTGTCCAATATATCCTGGCGTCATGCGAGCTTCTCATATCATTGATATGATTTCCGTCTAAAGTTGGTCTAAAATCCCCACTGTTATGTACATCTTATGTTCCCTCATGTTTCCTCATGTCTACGCTAGATACCCACCCCTACATCGTGCTCCCGAAGGGTGTCTTCCACATACATGTTTAATTCTGTGCAATATAACCTTCTTTATAAAGCTGGATCAACTTGTATTGACTCGTCTGTGTCACCCCATCTGTTCCCCGGGGCAATTGCGACTAGACGTAGAATGGATTTCTCCCAATATGGAATATAGCTTTTTGTATTGAACTCAAGTAACTTGATTCTTAATACTAAAAATTACATAAGACCGCTGTTTAATTATTATACTCATCTTGCTTTCCATGGTATCAAGGTCATCAGCCTACCCGTAGATCCAGACTCAAGGCCTCGCCGTCTTTGCTGGCGGCGCAGCATGTTCCCGCAGGGCCAGGTTCGAATCACTTCCCAAATCAATACCTCCTTTAATCTCCTCCAAGCTCGGCCTGCGTCCACGCTGTACTCGAACCCCAAGCAGCAGGAACCCGGCAGCAGCAATCAATCCAACGACAACTAGAGTCACAACCGCACCGATGACTCCTCCAACGGCGGGGCTAATTCCTTTGCGTCCGGAGGAAGAGGCTGCGCTACTACTCGGGCCATCGTCTTCATCATCCAGGACACCCGGACAGAATACAGCTGACGAGGTCGAATCACACTGGAGGCACCACTCCTGCGTCGAATTTAGCGCAAAGGCCTGCATCTCGGCCTTGAACTCGCTATAGGGAACCTCGATGCTGCTGGGGCTGTGACCGAAAAGCGGGTAGGATTGGAATTCCGGTGAAGTTGTTCCATTGCGCAGGAGGAACCGCACATAAAGCTGAGATGGATCAGGATAGGTTGGAAATGATTGATTTTCCAGACTGAAGAGCTCAAAGGTGAGCGAGGCCCCGAGCGCAGGTCTTCCATAGAATTTTCCATTTGCCGGGGATGCAAGTTGCACGAGAGAAGTAAGAGCGACAGCAGGCTCGTAGCCTCCGAAGACGAATGTCAGTTTCCCACTGGTACCCCGGTAAAGAACATTGGTGTCGAATGCATCCAAGATATTCCCGGCTAGTGTCTGGCCTGCAATTGTGCGAATGGCACTGCTATCGATGGGGCTTGACAATGATGTATCCGAGTTGCCGTTTGTTGCAAAAGTATATTGGTCGGCATACCAGCGCGCGAGCCTTATATCCTCTTGGCTGACGCTGTGCAACAATGTCTCGTTGTGCAAGAGCTGGTATTCTAGGAATTCGGAGACCGCAATGGAGTTCGCATAGTTGACTGAAGAGCGGTCAAAATCGCCCGACAGGGCCTGGATATAGAGACGGTTGTAGAGCGCGTCAGACTCCTGTATCATTTGCTGAGCCTCCGTGCTAGCCTGGTAGTCAGCATTGGCGATCTGATGCAGGAAGCAATTATCTTGGCCTGCCACCACGACCGACTGAGGGTCGTCCGAGCTCACGGTGACAATGGGCGGATATTGGTAGCCACCCATAGGGGCAGTCGCAAAGCTGCCATTGGCCATGAGATACGACGGGTCAGGATATTGCACGTCGTAAGTATCGTTGAGAGGTGGGTATAGCCCCTGCATGAAAGCCTGCGCGGACGCAATGACCGATGGGTCGGTGGTAGACAGAATATTAAGATCTTCATCTTCGAGGGCATATGTAGAGATGCTCTCGATTCTCGTACTCGGACTGACATCGGTCGAATGGATTGCAACATATCGATCTCGGAAAGCGGACCCAGCTTCATACAGTGTGTTGGCACCATATGGTGTCAAAATATTGGGGCGAGGCAGGGCTGTCGGGACACGGTCTCCGTATAGAGTGTAAGCGAATACCGCCCAAACTTGTTCTTTCAGGTCCTGAGCTGAAGCCTGAGTAGCTGCCTGCAGGATTGCCGCAAGGGCGACAAACTGGCGCGTAGAGAGCATTGTGGGGATCCTTAAAGTCGGCCTCTCATGAAAAGTGAAGATGTTCAGTCGACACTATGGGTGAAGACTACCCAGCACAATCATGTATACACGAATGAGTGTCGATCATCCAACAGTGGGAGGGCCCCAGATAAAAAGCATTAGCAGCACCGGTAGTTGCATCCTACGGAACCGGGTCAAATAGAAAATGTTGAACCTGCGGGGAGTGTTCATGGAATATAGGGCGAGGAGGGTTCTAGAGGTGTCAAACTCAAGGACCGGTCCGTGTCTGGACTCATCCAATGGTTGGTTAACGTCTGGTACAGACCACGGACGTAACAGCGCAATAATCTTGCCTACATCCAAGAACCATGGGAATTGCTATTGTCCATCCGACACTCAGGGCTGAGCTGCTCGAAACACACCAGTCCTGTGTCTGCATCCATAATCATGCCTATAGATGCTATAGAGATAGGTTAACTTAGACCCTTGAAGGAGGACGTGCTCTCGACATAGCTATAGTGATAGACGCGTCTATCTAGTGTCACTTGTTGGCATCCTCAGGGATGAGTTTGTTCTGCATATGCCATTGTGCCACTCGCCAATCATCCTGAAAACGCAGCTAGAGCACGTCAGTGTGTTGCAATGGTTAACAGTAGAGGTCTAGAAAGAGATAGGAGGTAGTCTATGACGCATGGATAGAGTAGCATTGGACGGAAGTAACCTTGGATGAATGTTACCACTGAGGGTTTAAATAGTGATCAAATGATACACTAGGGAGGACTTTATAGTCAAGAAGTGAAGCCTATTCCGGACGCAAGATGGGGAGTGAACCAGAGAGTGGTGGAAGAAGAGAAGAAGTAACAGCAGAATCTTGAGTATAGAGAGAGAGGAGTGGAGGATCAGGCACCCAGGCAGGCAAGAGAATGGGTTTCCGAAAGAGGAAAGGCAGGGAAGACGGTCGGGGAAACACAACAGAAGTACTACAACAGAACCTGGCAATGACCAAACAAATAGATCTGGATATGTTGTCCTCAAATATAATAAAATAAAGGGAAAAAATAAATAGATTTCGAAAATAATACAGAATATTAAATCCAGCTAGTATACTATCTATATCGTAAGTATCTCCAGGAAATAATGGAACTAGAATCCACACCCCCAGCCGAGTTCCCCGACCGACCGGGCGGAGAGGGAAAAAGTAGGAAAAATCTGAGGGGGCGATTCTCAATCTAACACTTCCCAAAAGCCCTACGCCTGCGCCCTACCCCTAAGCCCTCATTTCTGCTCTTGGAAGTCAACGCCTATCCCTTCCATCAGGAATTGTTCCTATCATGGTCGACACGAGAGGTACAGACCCGTCTCTCGACGAGGCGGCCTCATCTGAGTTGCCTGTTCCCTCCGTGACCGATTCCGCCGCTCATGGTGAGTTCTCCTGCGCGCCGTTTGAAGGAGTCTCTGCTCCCGCTGGCCCCGGCAGCTCCCTGGGTAGATTGTCTTCAAATCAAACACCCTGGGGCCAGTCCTCTGCAGTGATGAAGACTTTCTGTATGCCCTGTTTGTTTCCATTCACAGGGTTGACGTGAATTTACGGCAGTTTCCCCCAAAATGTCTCACCCTCTCGAGGAAGATGACGGTTCCCTCTCGCCGCCAGCTTCTAAGAAACGCCGTCTCGAATCCGAGCCAGCTGACCTTTCACTACCACCTCCACCGACCACCTTAACTGCAGATCAAGTACCGGGAAATCAGATTGAAGAAGAATTGGCATCTGCACTAGGTTCTGGTGTTGTCGACCCCGTGGACCATCCCGTGGACCGTCCTCTAGACACGCCCGCTCCCATCGAAGGATCTGCAGAAAGCGCGGTGCCACAACCAGAAAGCAGTGCTGATATTGATTCGGACATGGCTACTGTGATTTCAAGTATCATGAATCACGCAGAACGGGTGGAGGAACAATGTGTGTTAGGCCAGCAGCAACTGGCGGAGACGTCCAGCGCGTCACCTCCGAAGGGCATGGTGTTTGTCAAAGCCAACTCACACCTGAAGATTCAGAGTCTGCCCATTCTTGACAATTTGGTAAGTCGCGACTTACTTCGCGTGACTTTGCTTACAGGATTCTAACCCGCGATGTCTCCAGTCAACCCAGATTCTGTCGCTGCTAGCCAAGTCCTCGTATCAGGAAATCACTTCCTTCGTCTCCGAACCCGAGACTGAGAGTGGCCAAGCCTATGCGACCATGCGGTCGCTGTTCGATCATACGAAAAAAGTCTACTCGAGCAAAAAGTCCTTCCTTTCGCCTACAGAGCTGGAGCTCACCGAATCCTCCCAGATCGATATTATTCGCAAAGCCAATCTAGCATCCTTTGTTTCCAGTATTTTTGGCACGCAGGAGATCGGGTTTTCGGAACTCAACGATAACTTCCTCGATGTGTTTGTTCCCGAAGGTGGCCGTCTACTCAAGGTGCAGGGTGCCTTGTTCTTGGAACTTAAGACCCAGGCGTTCATCGCATCGATGAACAATTCGGAAAGAACCCGAACCGAGCTGCTTTACGACCTGTTTCCCGATGAGTTGGAGCAACAGCTGCTCGATCGGCGTCCAGGGACTCGTCAGCTGGCTCCAAGTGAAGCGGACTTTGTCAAGCGGGCCGGTTCGCGCCGTGACATTCTGCTGAGCGACGTCAACAACGAGGAAGCCATGAAGGCCTTGCCGGACAAGTACCATTGGGAGGATTTTCTTCGGGACTTGAGCTCCTACATCACCAAGAACTTTGATACCATCAGCAACCAACAGGTCTGAATTCCCATCATTCATCTTTGCACGTGCTCGTACTAACGATGAGCCAGACGAAAAAGACCGCTAAGGGTCGACAACCATCCTCGTCCGATGGAGACTCACAGCCGTCCAATGCTCCTTTGCAGGGCCAGTTCCCCGTCTCGACCCAGCCACCTGATGTTCCCGTTGATAGAAACATGCACGGCGACTTGGTTGCGCGTGCGGCTCGTGCGGCGCAAATTGCATTGCAAGGCCACGGCTTGAGACGCTCCCAGCAGCAACAGGCCCAACAGAACCAGCAACAGCAACCGTCGCAGCAGCAACCACAGCAGCACCAACAACAGCATCAGATGCATCAACCCCAGCAACTCCAGCAGCAACCTCCTCAGCATGCGCCGCAGCAGGGGGGCCAGATTCTGCATGGCTATTCTGCTGCCCAGCCCACGGGTCAGATGCAGCATCAGCAGACTCACCAGCAGCCGTATCATCATAGTCCCGCTCCGTCCGGTTACCAGCAACCGCCCGGTCAATTAACTTTCCAGCAAAGCCCCCTGCAGGCCAACTTCCAGCAATACAACCATGTGACGCCTGCTTCGATTCCGCGACCCAATTCAGCCGCAGCCAACCATGGCTATATGCCGGGGATACCACACTACTCGCAGTCGCAGCCGACTCAAGTACTCTACGAGCGCGCGCGCATGGCGGCATCTGCCAAGTCGTCGCCTAGCAGTCGCAAGTCTGGGTTGCCCAGCCAGCGTCGGCCGTGGACGACGGAGGAAGAGAACGCATTGATGGCCGGGCTGGACCGGGTCAAGGGCCCGCACTGGAGTCAGATTCTTGCCATGTTTGGCCCAGGAGGCACTATCAGCGAAGCGCTTAAGGACCGCAACCAGGTTCAACTAAAGGACAAGGCGCGGAACTTGAAGCTGTTCTTCCTCAAGAGTGGCATTGAAGTGCCGTATTACTTGAAGTTTGTGACAGGAGAGCTAAAGACGCGTGCCCCCGCGCAGGCAGCTAAACGCGAGGCCCGCGAACGGCAGAAGAAGCAGGGAGAAGAGGACAAGGCACATGTTGAAGGCATCAAGGGCATGATGGCGCTTGCCGGTGCACATGCGCAGCCGGTTGGAATGACACACGGCCACGATATGTCGGCATCGCCACTGCCACCAGATGCTGGAGCGCATGCGGCGTTTGACCAGACAGCCGAGCAGAATCTGATGCAGACGCTGGGACAGGAGGTGCATGGTGAAGCCTTTGGGCAGCATCACCACCACCATCACCATCACCAGCATCACCCGCATCATACCCACCATCAAGACCATGTTGATCCCAATATGCATCTTGGACAATAAAGCGTCCGTCATGGCTTCTGTCTATGCTTTCGCTTAATGCCCATCTCATTCTTCTTTGCTCTTTCTCCACATGTATCAAAATGTGTTCTATGTTTTCTTTTGCGACATCTATTCTAGCGATTATATTGATTACCGATGTGACTGTCCGGGGGAGTTGATTGGGGGTCTCGAGGGTGCTTTGCTTGCTGGGGAGACGAATGGCCATGTAGAGTTGGGGCTGTGTACCAACATTGTTCATTTTTCGTAATTGCGAGGCAGCATTAGGGACTTAATGCAAGACTGTACTTTATGATTTGAATGGACTATTCGGCCAATATCAAGCATGGAAATGCTGTAGACGTAGCTAGATAGATGCACTATAGCAGCAGAATCGGGCCGACCGCGGACAAGAGCTGAAGAGACGAATGGCTCTCCGCTCCGGCAGCGCGACCCGGCCAGTCGACTCTCCGCCATCCCATCCATCTTTCCAAGTCCCATTCATTCTTCGTCTTCCTCCCACACAACCCCCCTGCAGCTTATTGCCTTGTGCTGGTAACTCAGAACCAGCGCACCACCGCCATCCCGGCTCATTGTCTGACCGCCGACGCGCTTCTTCATTCACTATTGGACTAGTTCTGGCCGGCCCTCCCTTGCTCGCCAGCCACCAACCACCCATTACCACCACTCACCTTCATTCACTATTAACACTACCACCATGGCCGACTCATCGGCTTCGCAACCTCCCCCTCCAGCTGCTGCTGCTCCTACTTCCGCCCCGGCTCCAGCTCCAGCTCCCGCAGCATCGCAAGATTCCTCCGCGACTGTCGTCCCCAAACAAGAACCAGATACCGGTGACAACAACCTGGATGCATCTATCGAACAAGACATCGACCTAAACGCAAACAACGCCGCCAACATGCCGAACCAGAATCCCGCAGGCAATGACGCCGCCGCCGCGGCCGAAAACTCCATCCCCGCGCCCACCTCCGTGGACGCTCTGGCGGCCGCCGCAGCGCCTGCCAAGAAAGAAACCAGCTTGCGGGAGTTCATGGGCAAGATGGATGAATATGCGCCGATTGTAAGATTCCTTGCCTTTCCACCTGGATTCCCCTCCTATGTCACTTTTTTCTCTCCACTACCACCCTCGTTTACTTCCACCTCGTAATTCTGTCCTATATCTTACTAAGACGAGTATCTTTAGATCCCCGACGCTGTAACGGCCCACTACCTCACTCTCGCCGGTCTTCCACCTCCGGGCAACGGCCCCAATCAAACACCACCACACCTCGCCCGCCTCCTCGCTCTTGCAACCCAAAAATTCATCGCCGATATTGCCGCCGACTCGTATCAGTACGCGCGCATTCGCGCTTCCAACAGCTCCTCCGCTAGCAACCCCATGGGCAGTTTGAACGCCGCCTCGGGGTTGAACATGCCCGCCGGCGCTGCGGGTGTGGGGTCCGCTGGTGCCGCGACAGGCGTATCAGGCGGCGATGCAGGAAAGGGCAAAGCGGGCACGCACTTGGGAATCCAGAGACCCGGGTTCGGTGGTGGTGGGTCGGGAGGTTCCGGACAGGGCCGGACAGTGCTTACGATGGAGGATTTGGGTATGGCGGTGTCGGAGTATGGGGTTAGTGTCAAGAGGGGGGAGTTTTATCGGTGATTATCTCTTCATCCCCTTCTTTTTCCACCTTGGGAATGCTTTGGGGGGTTTTGTTTGTTGCAAACATGCGGGATGTTCATGGGCATGGGCATGGGCATGGGGATATGGGTAGATCGGGGACGGGATGGGGTGGGATGTGCTGTTTTACTTTACCTTTTTTCTTTCACTTTTGCTTGCTGGCGTAAAATACTGGGCAACGGCCGAACGATATCCTGCATGTGGGCCGAGTTTGAAATATACAAAAGGCGTTTAGGGCGGAGTTATCGAGATATGATATGATATGGTAGGAAGGGCGGCAACCAACAAAAAGAAAGAAGACAATAACTGAGACAATAATAGAAGTGACTTGATGTTCTGTGTTGAAAAGTCCATTGACCTGTTAGAATTTTTATGGTCCGTCTAGTAGTAGTTTACATGCAACACGTAGATATACATTGGTGGAAGAATAAGCAGTAAAGATCTGGATATAACGCCCGAGATAATAAGAAAAGAACCTAGCCATGCAATATGAAATCACCACCTTTCTGTCCGTCTGCCTGTCTGCTATCCCTCTTGAGCTGACAATCTACCTTTCCCCATATCACAGAGGACCCAGTAAGATTCCCAAGCAGAGCACACAGCAGAATAGCCACATAGCGAGACAACCACACACAACCCGAAAAGCAATCATTTGTTCTTCGACTGCTTGTACGTGAATCTCTTCCGAGTCCTATAGAAACCATCCAGTTAGCAGTAATTCCTTTATCATCGTCATCACACGCCAATCGAATATCTCTTCCCCCCAGTACCTCCCACTCCTCCTTTTGGCACCAAAGTCTTCCAACCTCCCCAATCTTCAATATTCCACCCCAACCTCCCCAGGAGAGAAAGAGATAGGAAGAGCAAAGAAAAAGGGAAAGAAAAAAAAAAGAGAAAACTCACGCAACAAACTCCCCCAACTTCCTCCCAACCATCTCCTCCGTAATCACAACATCCTGATAAATCTTCCCATTGTGAACCTGGAACTTCAATCCCACGAAGTTAGGCAAGATCGTGGCGCCGCGCTTCTGCGTCTTGATCGGAGGTGTTCCTGGCGGAGCGGGGAGTTTGCGGGGGAGAGGGAGACTATTCAATTCATAGCATTCATTAGTATATAGGTGTATATCAAATTCGGTGTAAAATATGTCAAAGTGGCGAGATGTAGTTGATCAGCGGTGGTATTGTAATGGGGTTTCGTGTAAGTGAAAGGTAGGGAAGGGAAATAAATGCGACGACGTACGGGACGATGTTCGGGCCTGTAGGTATGCGTTGTTAGATGGGTTTCAATTTCTCCCTGGAATATGAATAGAGTAATAATGAATAGACTCACCCTTCCAGACCGAGCGAGAGAAGAGAGCTCGCGTGGGAAACATTTTGGTTTTTTGTGCTGTTGGCTTTTGGCTGATGCGGACCGGCGGGTTTGCGATAGATGATTGGGATGGGTTTGAGATGGAGCGGAGGGCGGATGGATTATGTAAGATTTTCTTTGGTGTAGGACTGGTTCATGGTCTACGATTTTATTTACATTTGTAGAAGAACTGATTCTTCGTGGTTATGGTGATTTTTGTTATTTAAGTACATGTTTGAATTTATTGAACTTCTAAAGAAGCAGGTCTATCTCATACCAAAATAAAACTGCCGAATTGGCGAGTGAGTAAAAAGAGCGAAATGCGGTAGTATCCATATCTACTCCATACATGACATCGCGAATCCACTCTGCATGAGACAAAAAGAAAAAAAAATGAATCATTTAGTTAGCATGTCCTGGTTTCGATCCAGGGACCTCCGGGTTATGAGCCCGGCGCTCTTCCCCTGAGCTAACATGCTGGGTTGATTGAAAGGAGCTATGTTGTTAAGATTATGACTCAATAGTATATGGATGGATGAATGTGTGATTGCTCCTAGATTTCAATGTGCGGCGGCGCTTCACGTGATATCAGACGTCCGGCTACAAACGGAGGTGTTTTTCCCACCTTCAACATATATTCCGGGTTTGCTGTTTGTGGTTACTATGGGGGACTGTGATTTTTTATTCATGGTTTGGTGTTGCATGAGGTATGATGAAATTATGTATTGTTGGTGGGTTCCGTACATATCCTGTGGGGAGAAAGGGTAGTTACTCGCTATTGAATGCATAGATAAGGTAGAAGCAGAATATTCCTCTATTGGGATATATTCCATGGTTCTGACATTCCACATGATCAGGTTGTCCTCTCATCGAGCTTGCCAGCTCATCATGATACCGGCAAGTGATGTAGGCATGTGCTATCGTAAATCTGTGGAGACCTCGTATAGATCACTTTGCACAAGTAGCAACTCCTTACCAAGACAGCCTCATTTTGAGTTAACACTTGAAGGATTGTTCTGCTACAGTCTCTCTTCCTGAGCACCGTATAGAGATTTTCATATTAGCCATGATTCCACTCCATCATGCAAGCCCAGCCGTTCATTCGCCCAGTGTCGCTGAGAAGACTCGTGAGAGGATTCAATGATGAACAGTATGATTGCCTCTTGACTTGGCTATTAGCCGGGCGGTTTGCATTGTTTATCTTGTTCTAGCGACGGTCTGTAGGTCGCTGTTTTCTGGCACCTTGTGGGATCTTCGCAGTCTGCTACTTGGAATAGTAGAACATAGGATGTATACCACCCTGCAGAAGTATACCACGTAGAACACTCTCTAGCTCGATATATACTTTATCGCGCTGCAGTATTGCCCTATAATGCTCTGTTTTTAAAGTGATATTTCCCATAGTCAGGATGTAGGTTATCCTGCTACCATATAGTTCCCACGGTTTAAGGAGAGGACCAACAGAGTCAGGCTATATCTTCGAGGGGATGGCATATAGCCTTGTCAAGGAGCAGACCGTAATAGATTACAAGAGATGAATAATAAGTCTGTACGGACAGCTTGATTGTTGTTCGGCTGTAATGGTAAAAGAGCAGCTACAAAAAGAAAAAAGAAATCAGATAGCATGTCCTGGTTTCGATCCAGGGACCTCCGGGTTATGAGCCCGGCGCTCTTCCCCTGAGCTAACATGCTTGGGTTGATGTTTAAGGCTCCCCACTTTGGCATTATTAACCTAAGCCTGCGAGCCATGTGCACAGCACACATTCATGTGAACATCTCCTATCCTGTAACATATGAGTTTAAATATGCTTCAACAGTATTCGGTATCAAAGAATTGATGTACATTTGTATATTCGCTAACACCAAATTGTTTCATATAGCATCTATATCGCCTGCGAGTTTCGATGCCTTGGCCTGCATATCGTACACTTACTCGACGGCAAGTCCGGACAGGATTTTGATCAAGTTCCGTATTCCTTTGAGCACATTCTCGTCCGGCCCCTGACCTGGTGTCCAACTGGCGTGGGCAAAATCGATCAGACGAAGGTCATGCACCTTTGGGGGATCCTCTTCCTCATCATCTTCTAGATCCCCCAGGTCTCCCAGATCGGCCAGCTCGGCCATTTCGGGGTCGATGTTAATATTTATGGCCTGGTGAGATTTGGTTCCCTGACCGACCGGTATATCAACCACCTGGATTGACCCGCCCTGCTGGATGTGGAATTCCATGTTCTCCTCTTCCTCGTCTTCGTCTTCGTCCTCGGACTCACCCCGTTCAGGCCGGGGCTTTTGTTCCTCCACAAGCGCATGTTCCATCGCTTCTGGATCTCCCTCATATACAATCAACACACTTGAAGAATACATCCGGCTTTCCTCCGCCTCCAGCACATGCTGTACCTTTTTCAGTTCGTCCGCCAATCTCTGGGCGACCAACTGGGAGCGGTCAACGGCCCCAGCTTTGGCACCAGCGAGGAATTTTTGAAACCCTTCTATAATAGTGTCCTCTGTGAGAGCCCGCCCATACCACTTATCGTAGCGCTTATATCCGTCTTTCTCGATAACCTCGCCCCGCGCCCCTTCGGAACCCTCGTATTTCGTAGCATAGGGATCGGTTTTACTTCCTTCGTCGCTTTCTCCACTCACGCCCGTCCAGACCTTCATCCCCGCAATCCGAAACCCCAGCTTCGAGCTTGTTGTCTCCTGGGATACAGCATCTAATTTCGCCCGCTTCTGAGGCGGCGCATCATCAGCCCATAGCCTTGCGCCCAGCTTCACGTCTAAAACATTCGGCCGCTTAAACCCCGAAGCCACGTTTTCCAGCACAATAGATATTCCTGTCTCCAGCTTCTTCCCGTTCGAAGGAACCCATGGTAGATCCTGCGCGGTACTCGCCGATCCCGAGGTTGCCGCGCTGAGCTGTGCTGGTGCGGTCGCGCTCGGCGTGCCCGATGTCGAGGAGTAGTCTGATCCGGGGAGAACAATCGCACCGGACTGCTGAGCAGCTTCGATGGCGGAGAACTGCTGCTGGTCGGCGGAGGTCAAAGTCCCTATGTATGTAGGGATAAACTCTCTGAATTCCGGGTGGAGGGCGCTAGACTCGTAAAACGCGACTTCTTCGGGGGTGCAGGGCTTTGCGATAAAGGAGCCGGACAAAGTGCATTGGACACCGTCGCTATATTATTATCACGACGTCAGTGACCTGTACCGACTCGTATGCAGAGCAGACGAACATTGCTTGGGGAGGGGGAGAAAGTAGGAGTGCTGGCCATGAAGCATCTCGTATCTTTGCGGCAAGGGCGGAGAGGCAGAACTTACTGGCCAGCGGCGGCATGGTCAAAAGCGACAAAGCTGTCGGTGTCCAGTTTCTGGGTTTTCAGGCTGTCCGACCGCGACGAAGACATATTGGGTGTCCGAAGAACTAAGGGATTATTCACTGTCCAACAGAGACCGTTGGATTCTAGACGGCATTCCGCATGAGTTGAGTCACAGGCAATGAGATTTGCAAGCGATGCGGAAGGGCGCAGGACGAGTCGGGTAAGGGAAGAAAGGAAAAAAAAAAAAAAGATGTATATGGTATATATATTTAGGCAAATGCCGGAGAAGGGTAAAAGGAGGGAAAGGAGGCAATCAAACAAAGGAGAGAGTAATAGGTCGACAGGGCAAACAAAGGGTTGGCAGAAGAAAGGAGGGACAAGCCACAGGAGGTGGTGGTGAGTGAAAAGAAGTGGTGGAAGTTGCTGGTTTTGTTCCGAGCTGAAGTGACGTGCAACCGCGGAGAATCATGCAAGCATCCGCTCTTCTTGCGCTGGACGATGGACTGACCTTTTTCCCCAAAGGCAACACAAGGCGGCCCGAGCAAACCTGCACCGCCCAGGGATCCCCGAGATGAACTCAAAGGAATGGTCGGTATTAGAAATGTAATCATCCGAGAAGGCTCGAGTGCAGCCCAGAGGAAGTATAATATCAGGCGCTACGATGCCGCATGCCGGCGATCATTCGCTGGAAGTTCTTCTCTATACTTCATCGTTCCACTGGGTTTCACCCGCGCTTTGCTGAGAATATTACCAATAACCAGCACGTCAGCTTATACTGGTGCCAGATTTCAGCCTACTTGAATATGGTGCCATAGAGAGTCATGGTCTAATTCACTCACTTATCCTTGACTAATTCTATTTCATGGTGCTGGTGAGTTATCTGCATGTTGCATCACGATAGGAGTCTATGAACGAAAGTGATATGTCATCCATACGCCCAGGAACTTCGACTGGCACTGAGTTTATTAGAGCCAGTTACACGGACAAGGCTGTATGTTCAAGTCATCGTTTCTCCTCCTTCTCTCTGGCCCTCTCATTGCACACTGTTGCGCTTTCATCTCCTCCTGCAACTTCTCACAACTTTCCTCAACTCCGGACCTGCGCTGGGATCTCTCCTGCTAGACTGTTCTGATTCATTGAGACTCCCGCCTCTTCCGACTTTCCTATAAAAGCACCAGGGGCTTGCGGCAGATGTTTGGCGTGTATGGCCTCGGCATGACCTGTAGACTCATCCTCCCAGTGCGTACTACCCCTCGCATAGCCTCGTGCAAAGGGGTACTACCTTGGGAACTGCGCCAATCAACATCTGCACCTCGCTAAATAAGCTGTCGGGCTGCCTTAATGGCAGCCTTGTCATTGACCCCTGTTTGCTCCAGCATCTGGTTCGCAGGGCTGGGCTCAGACACTCGGAATCATGGTATGCGCGAGTCAGTTGATGCAATAGATTACGTCCCTCGGAGTTACCGACGCGGGCATCTGCTCCACGCGCTGGCTCCATTGGAATTGGCATGAGGCTGGATGGCTTAGCTTGCAGCAGGGATTCCCTAGTAATGGGAAACCTTCACTGTCTCTGAATTGGTCTCCAGCAACAGGCCCATCATGTCCAGTAGCATCATGCAGCTGAAGCCTTTGCTGAGAATTGACCCCGGTTATCCTGACATACCACCATTGTAGCTGGCACCTTCATATCCTCTCTTCGCCAATGCTCCATCAGAGTGCGAATCGTAACCCCCTTTCTGTACAAGTTCGCAACATGCAGCAACATGATGCTGGCATGTGGATCTGCTCATACTTCAATATATCTCCCTCGCCTGGCCCTTGTGCAGATAACTTTTTTAAACAATCAGCAGCAGAGTCATCTCATAGTTACCACAATGGACAGCTGCCCCAGGCCAAGTATTTTCTTATCTGGATCGATTTACAAGACTTAATCACCCACGCTTGGTTCTCACCCAGAAACCTAATCGCAGCACTCAGTAACGCCATCTTCCCTCAAAATCGCCTCGAGGATGACTTAGTACTGACCTTAGCAAAGGCCTAAATGGTAGGCTCGGCAGCAGCAAGTCTCAGAGATCTAATGTGGCCCACTGTAGTGGTATTACACTATTCTTAGTCACATAAATGGCATTGGCTTTTGGTGCCTAGTCAATGGGGCATATATCGAGCTGAATCAATAATATTCATCCGTAGACGTGAATCTTCACAATAATCTTGATCTGGAGCAGTCCAATCAATGCGTCTCTTACCATTTCTCTTGAGATACGATATCACTTCATGGTATGAACGGCATCTACCAGCCTAATAAATACTGGCATGGAAGGAACCGGCTTTGTCCCAGTCATTTAACAGGTGAATCCCTCTTACTTGCTTCACTGTCAGTGCTTTCTATCACGTTCGATTCTTCCATCATTGGCTGTGAATCCAGAAAGTCTCAGATCTAATCTACTTACTGTCATTTAAATTAGAGATCTCCAAAACAATGTTTCACGGTGTTCCTCGTGCAACTTCCGAGTTCCAACCCCCACACGTCCAGGTTACCCCTCCAGCTTTTATCTCTCTCTTTTAACTTCCCTCGCTTTCCTCCATCCCCTCATCCTCTTCTTAGGGGCGATTCCTTATTCTTCATCTCATCTCAGGGGTCTGCTACTGCACTCACGATGTCGGACTCTCAGGATCCTTCAGATACGGGCAAAGAGCTTCCTTTTCGCCCAGCTGCATCGAAAACCATCAATGATCCTCAGAAGACCGACCAATTACCAGAAACACCGGAAGATAAACCAGACTCAGCCCCTAACAGCCCTAAATCCCAGTCACTCGAGGAGTTGCCCATTGAGTTTGACCAGGCCAAGAAGAAGAGGAAGAAGAGCAAGACGCGCCCCAAGAGCAAGCGTGGAAAGGTGAGAACACTAAATGATGCAACGAATTGCAGCCAGACTAAGTTCTACAGAACAAGCCAACCGGCTTCGAAGAGTACTACGTCGACGCGCCCATTACCCCCAAGGAATTTAGCGCTGAGAAGGAGCTCTACAATGTGTAAGTCCCCAAATCTCCATTTTTAGCACCTGCTAACCGGAATATGTGTGAAGCTCGCGACCTCTCACCCAGTAAGTCTTGCCACCTCATGGATTTGGCTCTCATACTGACTAGTCCAAGCCGAATTGAGGATGCCCTTCTGCGCTATCAAAAAAATCGGCGGTTGGAGTCGGACAGAAGAGATGTTTTCCTGAAATATTTGGCGTATGGCGGGGTGAACGTGGGTCAGAGGATGTTCGGTGGTTTGGATGGCCGTGACCTCCAGCAACTGGACAGCGAAGAGATCCTACAAGCGCGAGCAATGACCAGTGTAGGCAAGGACAGATCTAATCTTACCGTGGATTTTGATGCAGTCGTTCGCGGGTTTCTGTAGGAGCTACACACACGCCTTGAAACTACGTTTGACTGACTCGTAATAGGACCTCCTTCTTTCCATACTATTACAATCCTGAAACCGAAGATATGATTAAGCTGGCGACAGTCACCATTCGAAACTTTCTCTCCTACCTCCTTTACCACGATGTGTGCCCGGAGTACAAAGATAATATCGACCAGGCCAGGACATCGTGCGATATAGCTACAAGGGAGCTGTGGAACAATCACCAACTCATGGCCAAAGCCCCTGGTGACTTCAACTCGTGTTGCTCCTTGCTTTTCGGTGGCGAGCTTCATGACACATATGTGGAGGGCAATCAGTGGAAAAACTCCAAGGATGAAGCGCCTCGCCTGACGACTGAGACAGCCCGCAAAATCGTTAAGTTCGCCCTCGCTGGCGCGGGAGAAAACCGGCATGCCCTCAAATTTCAGGAATTGACCGAGAATGATACGCTGTGCGCAGCTCGTATTGAGGATATTGATGGGTTCGAGATTACCGCTGTTCATCCCCCCGGAGAAGACGTCCGCGAGTTCTATCAGACGCACGCTCCTGATCTTGTTCCCGTCGGAAAGCTGCTAGCAAGGGCTTACCGAGATCCAGGTATGCCTGATTTCGACCTCAGCCCGGAGGAGCAAGTGGCACAGCAGCCGGAAAAGAGTTATGAGTTCTTTATGGAGGACAATATACTTCAGTACTGCTACCCGGGAATGAAGGTAGTCACTCCGGTATGGGAGCTGAACTGTGGATTCCATTATTTCGAGGATGCGTATAGAACGTATGGTTCCAACTACACCCCTCTCGTGAATGACTTGATGCTTGGATGGAAGGAGCCAAGAGATTTAGCCAAAGCAGAGAGTGATGGAGAGGATGACTCGTCTGTTACTCTGTGAGCATCGCTAGAGCAGGCCTGTCCCGGCAGCTCAATCCGTAGGCTTCTAACAGCTACTAGTTATCGCATTCTTATCTTAGTCATGTTCATTTCTAGATAGTCGAAACAAATTGATTTCTATTGGAACATATATTCATAGCATGTGCATCAACTCAAGGCTTCAGCATCGACTTGCCGGTAGTCTTTCTACCCTCCAGATCGGTGTGAGCCTGGGCAACCTCCTCCAAGGGGTAAACCTTGTGGACCTTGGCCTTGAGCTTGTTAGACCGGAGAAGCGAGAACAGCTCATTGGCGTAGAACTCGAACTCCTCGCGAGTCTCAATGTAGCCGAAGAGCTGAGGCCGAGCGACCTTGACACACTTGGGGGAGAGTTTCCTATAAAGCCATCAGCATCGCACCTCACACCATTAACCATAGTAGGAATCAACTTACTGCAAAGGCAAAGGCGGCACCGGACCACTAGCATTGCCAAACCAAACAATAGTACCCTTGCGCTTAACGCTCTCCAAGCTTCCCTCCCAAGTATCCTTGCCAACCGAATCAAAAACTACATCGACACCCTTACCACCCGTAATCTCCTTCACCTGCTTCACCCAGTCCTTGCCCTCCTCACTGCGGTAATCGATCACCACATCAGCACCCAGACTCTTCGCCAGCTGGCACTTCTCAGGGCCACCAGCCGTTCCGATGACCTTCGCACCGATGGCCTTCAGCACCTGCGTCATCAGGGTTCCCGCCCCGCCAGCCGCAGCATGCACCAGCACCCACTCATCCTTCTGCACAGGGTACGTCTCCTTCGCCAACGTGAGAACCGTCAATCCACTGAGGAATGACGCCATCAGGTTCTCGTCCGTGATTCCCTCGGGGATCTTGATCGTCTTGGCCATCGGCACCGCCGTGTACTCGGCATATCCGCCAGTGCTGAGCCAGGCGACCCGATCTCCGACTTTG